TCCTCCTCCTCCTCCTCCTCCTCCTCCTCCTCCTCCTCCTCCTCATCCCACTTCTGACTTTTAACTCTGCTCTCCAATGATTATCCCAAAAAGCGTAACCAGCACCTTTTTGATTTCCTAACACTATGGACTCAGTAGTAGATGTCCTGATTGCAGGCGGTGGTCCAGCCGGTCTCACTGCAGCCCTCACGCTGGCCCGTCAACTCCATACAGCCGTTGTATTCGACAATAAAAGCTATCGCAACGCAAATGTCTCTCACATGCACATGATTCCAACCTGGGACCACAGAAATCCAGCTGAATTCCGCGCTGAGGCCCGCGATGAAGTTCTCTACCATTATGACACTATTAAGATCGAAGACGTGGATCTGAAGACAGCAGAGAAGACCAGCGACGGACTTTTTCAACTTGTCGATGCCAACAACAAGGTCTGGAAAGGGAGAAAGCTGATTCTTACTACCGGTTCGGAAAACGTCTTCCCTGACATTCCCGGATACGCAGAAGCGTGGGGTCAGAGAATGTATGTCTCTTTATTATGAATCCACTGTCTTTTGTGTTGAACCTAGCTAACACTATTCAGCTACCACTGCCTCTTCTGCAAGGGGTACGAAGACCGCTATACAGACAGTGCCGGCGTCCTCGCCATCCAATCCGCTGGTAATGTGCCCATGGCCATGCATCAGACAGAATCGGCCGCTCAGCTCGCCCGAAAGGTGACCATCTACACGAATGGAGCGGAGGAACTCGGGGCTCAGATTGTATCGACCCTAACCGACAAGGACAAGTCCCGCATTACGGTTAACAATACCCCAATCCAGAAGCTCACTCATACCCGCTCCTTGGTTTACCTAGAGCTCGCGGATGGCACGACTAAGGAAGAGACCTTCCTGGTCCATAGCCCCAACACGACTGTCAAGGGTCCGCTTGCCAGTCAACTTGGTCTGGAGCTTACCCCAATGGGCGATATTAATGCCGCGCCGCCGATGCACCAGACCAGTGTGCGCGGTGTGTTTGCAGCGGGTGACTGCATCACTCCATACAAGGTTATCGCGGGCGCGATTTCAAGCGGTTGCAATGCGGCGGTGGCTGCTTCGGCACAGCTATTGGCGGAGAAGCATGGCCATCAGCCGCTGTTTTGATTGCCTTGCAGTGAATGTTGAGGAATGGTAATCATTGCGAACAGTACCCATTGTGGTGGCTCTTCGCGGGTTAGGTGGTTTGGTCAGTTACACATTAGCATGCCATTGCAGTTCATCTCTTTATCGTATCATCATCGGTATACCAATGGGTATGTTTATCGCGGGCGAAGAACAGCCTGGTGGGGCAGTTAACGATTGACAGAATAGTATGAGACTAGAATAGCGTGAAACTAAGATCCCAACCCTTGGATTAAATGATATATCTGTATCTAACGAATACTGTGAGGGAAATAAAATAAAGGTATAGTGCTGTTGAATCAATAGGAAGGAGAAAGAGTGCTTATAAAATGGTAAAATGTACCAATGCGTACTTGTAGCAGTGATGTGATCCGCGAATATATAAACGCTTACCGACTCTCTGTCGAGTTTCTGAACTGGTCTAACAAAACCTTCAATTCAAGACAATGATTACTATCTCCACGTCTTTTTACAACGAATATAGATATAATTCAAGATACTATTATTTACTTTTGTACAACTTCAAGAAATAAATTTGCATATTGAGCAGGTACAGCTATTCAACCAGGGCAAGCAGAATCTTCCACCTTGTTGGGCATATCTCCCCAGTCGGAAATAGTTTAGCTGTGGGTTATATAGGCAGTAAAGAAAAAGAGTAATCAACAAGGCCGGCTGGCCCAATGGCAAGGCGCTTGACTACGAATCAAGAGATTGCAGGTTCGATCCCTGCGTCGGTCATTTCTTTTTGGTGAAATTTTTTCTTGCCACGCCAGCAAAAGGCCGCGACGGTGTGGATGGATCCACTTCCCGAATCAAACCCTAAGTAAGGGTGGGTGGAGTCTCTCTCTCTCTCTCTCTCTGCCCCCCCTCTCCCGTTCTTCTCTTTGTTTTGTTTTTCCTTGCTGTCATTGCCATGAAAAATATATGGGGCATGTGTTTTGGTCGGCATTGCAGATTGGCTTTATATGGCCAAATGACGGTTGTACTAACGCTATGATTATTCTCCGGTCTATTTGTCCACATTTCGGAGGTTATGCAAAAGACGTAGGTAGATAATAACTGCATTTAGGGTAGTTGTGCACCTGATTGATACCGTCATGTTCTAATAAGATCAGGCATGGACAGTCCGATGACTCTTATATTACTTTGGCGGTTAAGTTATACTTTTCATTAATATATATTTTCTTCGATTACTGACTAGTATGACTACATATGTGAATGTTAGAAAATTCAGTGGTCTGGTAAATGCAGCATTAATATCTATACCGTGAAAGAAATTCGAAAATTCTCCAAGCGGGTGCTGGTAAAGTGGTGTAGAGACCCCAGCCGCGCCAGTGAATAGCCCAAAGTTGAATCCATCTGGTACAAGACTCTGGGAGGAATCCAATAGACATGGCATCACACCATGGTAACGAGGGACGAGGCATATGACAAGACCGTCTTGCCAAATTCTTCAGGTTTCTTCAAGCTGGTGAATGTGACCGAGATAGAGCGGCTAGACTCTTGCGCAATGGTCGAGAAGGCGTTATAGAGATAATCCCTGACATCGTCAACTGACTGGGGGTCTCCACTAAACGTTCCCCACTGTTCAAAGCCTCTCCAAGGAAACGGCCTTGTCCTTAGCTTGCGTTCTAGCTTATCCATCTTATGAATAAACAGAACTATCTCCACATGACTGAGCGCTTCATATGAGCATATGAGCTGGAACAGCGTCAAATCATCTATTAGACGGTTTATGGTATTATCTTCCGTTAAAAGCTGGTCGTACGATCCTGCATCTACAAAGTACAGGACCTTTGTTGCTGCACCAAATACGAGGTACCAGTTTCTTCTTTCCATAAGACTCCCTGAGGCATCACAGAATATCACCTCAGACGGCCCGTTGGTATACCGCGCCATGGTGATTCCTGTAGATTTTGTGTAACACCACATTGTATCCTCTAAGCTGGGCATATAATCTTGATCCGTGATGCGTTCGATTGAGTTTAAAAAACTGTTTGATTAGTTGGCTTAAGCTATGCCGATGGCGATTGAGGGACGAAAAGACATACTATTCAGCTTCATCATCTAGTCTCCCAAGTCTGGCAATATATCGCAAGCCAGATTCCTGTACATACGTCCATATAGCTCTCAGATGTGTACCTATGTCGGCCATTGTGGCCTGTCGTCGCTGGATAGACATCTTATGCATCGTTTCTAGCAGCTGAGTGACATAATCGGAGACACTGCACATTGCTGCGTATTCCCCATCACCACTGCCTCCGGCACAAGCGAATCCTTCTCCATCATCAAGGATCTGGCGCAATTGGTCGTTGATTGACTCAAGGATAGTAAGTCTAGACGGAAATAGCTGAGAAACATCCGAGGGACACCCGGCGAGAAGGTTCAACACATTCATTGCCGTAGACTTCCCGGTTTTGGAAGATCCGAGAAAGAGGACTCTTTGGGGGATAGTTGCCACATGAGTCGCTTCTAAAGAGTTATTTCCAGCACAAGGATCGGGTGATGCTTCTCGCCCCCATAGGCCCCGCAGAGCTATTGAGGAGAGCCACTGACTACTTGTTTTTGCTTGTCTCACAGTAAGAGAATTTGTAGCCCGGCTTCGTCTTCTGGTAGGCAACATGTTTGAGACCAAGCTGGGAGCAGTGCGGGGCCGGCTTAGTCCTTTTATCAGACCCCATGCTCGCCCTGCATTGATACTGTGGGTGGGGTGTTCCTGATCTGGTCTGTATTCCATAGGTTCCCAAATGCTGATGGCTTCTTCATTGCTCAGAATGGAGAATGCTCCCTCCGTGGCATTATCGTCAGGCACGATACTACCCTCTTCATTTGAAGGCTTTACTGTGGTTCCTTTCAGCGCATGTACCATGGTGGATCTGGCTGCCGAGCAATAAACCCTCGAACTGAAGAGGTCTGAGTCGAAGGCAAATCTTGTTTCTATTAAGCTTAAGTCTTCTGCAACGGTGCTTTTCTTGGTCGTCTCCGAGTCCGAGTCTCTTAACCAGAGTAAGGACGAGGTATCATCTTTAATGCGGTCGAACACCACCCGACTCTCTGACCTCTGCAGGAATAGGCTCTGTTCAATGATAGACTTGCTAGACAGGGATTAATGATATGGCCATGTTCTTCAACGGTCGCAACCTACCACTGAAGCGCGGTTAGAAGAAGATTCAACGCATTGACCTGGTTGTTCAACAGGGATTGGAAATCAGTAGTTTCTTTCTCATGCCACAAAATGCCGGTCTTTTCCCGCATCGTGAGATGGCCTTGCTGCATCCGAGACAGTCGTTGATCCAGAACCGACAGAATTGCCTCACAGCAGCTGAGTGAAGTCGCAATGTCGACCGAAATTTGTGAATCTTCTCCGATCGGGCTTCCTGGACCAAGAAGATCGAGGATTTGTTTGATCTGGCCAAGGGCTGCATTTAGAGTCGATAATTGCCCTATTAGGACTCTTGCTCTGAGACCGATACTCGTATAGCGGCCTTGTAAGTCGGTCAAGGCCTTGATGCTTCGGGTCGCCAGGTCAATGATTCCCAGTATCGACCCGACTGCACCGACGATCGATAATGGGTCCATTTTCAGTAAACTAGATGACGTGAATTACTGCAAGAATCACCCACCTTGTTATATGTTCAGAGGCCATTCTGAAGGCGGCATTGCGGGGTAGTTAATCCTGGTTGTTAAGTGGAGGATAATCAGCCGTGCCAGCTGGCAAACACACACGAGGCTGAGATTAGCACAGCCTCGCTCGGACTCTCTCGTCACGAAAAGCAAAGAAAGGCCCGGTGGCTGAAAACCGTTATGCTCATACTGCTATATCCTCTAATAAGCTTATTCCCGAGGACCGTATTATTACCTATGTCGCAAGGACTTCCCAGGAATTACTAGACCTAGTGTTGGCCAGGGACGGGTTCGGTTATAAGGTTAAGGCGCGGGCAGGGCTTCTCGAGAAACAGGCTACGGCTCAGGCTCTATACTGGTAGATCGACAAGATGTACTTTCAAGGGAAGCTCTACATGTGGATCAAGTCAGGAAGAATAGGTGGTCTTCTTGTTGGGGGACCATAGAGTAATTCCTCCCCATCAGGAGTAGGACGGCAAAGTGCCCTACCTTTGGATACATGGAAGGTAAATGGTGGTGAAACTAGAAGCTTTACTAAGGACGGGTATATACAAACCATTACTTCAGAGTTACTTCCTTGGTGAAGAGGCCACTCAGCCTGCTGAGGCTCATGAAGCTCCATAATCCCAGGATCATAGCGGCCCTTTAGCCGTACAAAGTAATAGATACTTTGCCGTTCCTGCAGAAAGCCTACTAAATTAATACCACTGTCAATGAGGCCAGAGAGAACACTTCGCATTTCAGAGGAACTATCGCGGGTCACGAAAAGTTGACACAGCTCACGCAAGATTCGTTGTTTCGTAAGATCCCTACCATCAGAGGCAGACTTTGAACGCGCTATGTAAAGAGCTGTCTGGAGTCGCCATTCCTCTGCATCCTTTAAATGAGCCGCGGAATCTAATATTCATAGCCATGGTTACATTTCGCCCGCAAACTGAGTCGAGGTGGTGATACCTTGATCTGATGGATGGTCTATTTCGATGTTCGACAGTAACCATTGGAATATTCTTTTGAAGGCCACATTCTCATCTGGTTCAATGCTGGCTGAGATATTCCGTGGTGTAAAGGCCCATGGCTCAAAAGAAAGAAATATGATTATGGCTACACTCGATCGGTATAGCCCTTTGCTATATGACAAGGATCTTATGAGACTCAGTAGCATGCTCAACTGAGGTGCACTACTTTCGTCCTGATGCACATGGTGTTCCAATTTTCTCATGGTAATGATTGCGTCCGAAAGAATATCAGCATCATATCCAATGATATCGCACATTCTCCAAGCGGTCTGCTGTACACTGTATATAAATTGTTGGTAAGCGATCTGGACTGATTCCGCGAAAAATGCTACAAAGCAGTGCGCCAGGAGAGCTTTTGGACAACAGGCCAAGATTGAACTAATTGCAGAGCCGCAGGCTGCAGCGGTTTATACCTTGAGTCAAGCACACACGGTAAAGTCGGTTCGCCCAGGCGATCACTATGTCATCTGCGACGCTGGTGGAGGGACGGTGGACTTAATCACCTACCGTGTCAAGAAAATAGATCCTTTGGAGTTAGTCGAGAGCATCCCTGGCGCTGGGGAAGCTTGTGGATCGATCTTTCTGAACCGCGCATTTGAAGCCTTTCTAAAAGATAGCTTGGGGAGATACTACAACGGTCGTAGGAGCGAACAGCTAGAGAGGTGTTTGGAAGATGTAAGTTTGAAGCCCGCATTATACTCGACAGAACACTAATAATCTCAACAAGATGCGTCGTCGTTTTGATGTCGAGGTATGTCAGAAACATCGAAGCTTGTGTTAGCCCTCACTGAATGCACTAGATCAAGCAACACTTTACTGGGAATCGGGACGCTAGGTGGAACTTTTGGCGTATGGCTTTTTAACCGAGGACCGCACTCCGTACACAAGTTGACTAAATCTCATTAGTTCCACCAGAGTTGTATGGAGCCCAAATAGATGGCACAGAGGAAAACTGTCTGATCATCACTGGACGCGACGTCACGCATACGTTCGAACCCACTATCATTAGGGTGCTCAGTATCATTCGCGCCCAAATTACAACCCTCTTCAACCGGCGGGGCTACCGTCCTCGATTGGCCGGAATTGTGATGGTTAGTGGATTTGGCCAAAGTAGCTACCTATTCAAGCGAGTGAAGGACGAGTTTGAGCGTCTAGCTGAAATCACTCAACCTCCTGATGCGTAAGTGTACCGCGAGATGTATATATTATCTGAACTATGTTGATTGATACTGCATTAGCTGGGCATCAGTGACCCTAGGGGCTCTAAGCTGGGGAATGAGCAATCAGACCGTTACGGCAAGAAAGCTAACGCGGTGTTACGGTCAAGAGGCCCATTTGAAATACAATCCCGATTGTGGATACCCAAGGTAAGTCTTCCCATTCGTGAGCTTTCCTGAAATGGGTAAGTTGAACATTGATTCTATAGTGTGCGCCATCCTTTCACTGGTGAACGATCTCACAGGGCTATGCAGTGGTTCGTCGTGGCAGTATGTTTCTGGTGATTTACAGTTTTCTTACAACCTAACTCGGAGACAGACTAACTTTATCTGAGCCAGGGCAACGAAGTATCTGTTGACCAGCCTTTGGAATCCCCGTTAATTCCCGTTAGTAGCTTACTGTGATCCATCGGGAGAAGCAAAGCTGACAATAATTCTCTGGGCATGGAGCCCTTCCCGCGAAGGGGAGAGCCTACCTAAAGTTTGCACTCGAGGTATGGTTTATGTCGGATATCCTGACGAGAATTGCTGATCGAGGTAATTAGAATGCTACAAGGTGGGTAACATGACCATTGATTTAGAAGCACCACGTAGAAGAGCCCCCAGTCTGTTTCCGATTTTGGACGGAAGAGGCTGTTACCAAGTGTTAGATTTCACGATGCAACTGCTCTTTGCAAATGAGATCATTTTCCGAGCTGTATTCCAGGGTGAGTCTACGTAGCCTAACTATAGGCTTACCGAAGGCAGAATCCTGACGTAAATTCTAGGCACCACACACTATGCGCGCGTTGATTATACGTATTAAGCATGGCAGACTCGTGCTCTCTATGAATCTTTGCTTCGGTCGCTATAAATATCTCCGCTTCATACATTATTTGACTGATTACGCCCCTTCACAAAGTGCCCACGTCATGAAAGCTCCTTAGGATCAAAACTATTCTAAACAATGATCAAAAAAGGCAACATGATGGCACTATGTAGGTGCACTACCTACGCCTACGCTTCTCTTAGCTGGCACATGGGCCTTTGTAGGTCTGACACCAACAACAGGTTCGAGATACCGCGGGAACTGAGGATTTGGAGAAGGCACAGATAGTATCAGGGGAGGTCGTGACACAGAAGGCCTCCTGGAACGTCTCCTTCGCCGCTCCATCTGTCGCGCCAGTGTCGGTACCACGGGATTCATCCAACACACGCAGCATATCAGCAGAATGGCACCTGCTATGCCGAGCCCTATTCCCAGTGACTCTGCTGCATTCAGCCCGCGGACGAGGATTAGTATCTCATTCAAATTTATCATCAGCGGGAAAACAAGGAAGCATACCTCGAGCGACGCTGTATGGTGGCGGATCTTAGAAAGATGCTGTGTCGACTAGATAGTGGAATTGGGGATGACGGAGGCATTGAAAGTTGTTGTACATAAAGTCTTTCGGCTAGAGCTATCGTCTTCGTCAAGCAACACATGTGTCCTTGGTGCCGTAATTCAAGAAATTACTCCACATATCCTTTCCATTGGGTTGTTTATCCATTCTTCGTGAAAGCCGCGTGAACGATGACGTGATATATAGGAGGTTCATCGGTCTGATGACTTGAGGAAACCCTGCTATCATATAATGTGCTAAGTGTAACTACCTGAGTTCCGTGGAAATCGCATCATTGCGGCTGATACATGGTCGTACACCTGGCAGCCATTCCACAATGGCGATTTCTGAACATATGTACAATTGGAGGATCTTTTGTTGGAAGACCTCTTGTGTCTGATAGACAATTAGTTCCATAACATTGTCCCTTTGATCTTAGTATAATGTCCTCTGGTTGGCTACATAGAGCATAAGTCTCCGATATATAACCATCCAAGGGATATACGTCACAGTCTCATTTTCCTCCCAGCCTCAAGTTACGTTTCCTTTTAACTGGGACCAGTCCAGATGTGCACTCATGTGATTACAGTAACTTTGATATGCTGGCCAGTCACAGTCACCAGTTCAGCTTACTGATACAGGGCCTACCTGGTATGATAGCAATTAAATGATTGGAGTAGTGCCACGCGTACTCATACTTCTCCTTTTTCCTGGATCTCTAACCTAGCGAATAAGGGTAACTCCGGGGATCGATTTGCCTCAGTGTCATTTTTGCTATTCTCGTGTATGCAGTCTGATTTGCAATAGGTGCCCTCGTAAAGTCAGCTAATTGGCGCATCCAATTAGTGATCGTTACATGGATGATGGCCGTCTTCCAATGACCGGAAGAACTGTTTGCTTCCTCGCTAGAATTGGGACTATGACGGAAATAAGGGCGCAGAACTATCTTTCTGTTAATAGTGATTGCTTGATTAATCCCAAGCAAATCCCGTGGCATTGATGAATATGCTCATTGGTTAGCAGATGTACTGGAATGGCCAGGGATAGTACAAAGTTTGTGATTATCTTTTCCCAACAAGGTTGGAGAGTGATTTTTGGTGTCTCTGAAAATGTTACCCGGGTACTACTCTGTACTGCCTTATGTCCTTTCTTCTTGCTGGTCTTACCTGTTTTTATTTCTAACTTTCTTGACTTTTTCCTCCCTTGTGTTATTTTGGGTTTTCTTCCTTCCCTTCCGGGTTGAATGGATTACACCGGATTCTCTCTGCTCAGTGCTGGTATAGAGCCCACGATGTTTCCTTATCAGTGTTATATTGTTTTCAAATCTCGCTTTTTCATGGCTGCATTCAAGCCTATGCGAGCTAAGCGTCGGTATATGAACTAAAATCAACATTAGGTGAGGTAGGCCCGAAGCGTCCCGTACACCTCTCCTGGCCTCTATCCTTTACACATTGGGAATTGATCCAGATGATTATAAATATACTATATTTATCCGTTCGTATCTAAACCCTCATTGGATTACTGAATGAAAGCTTGTTAGACATAAGCTATAAGTGGAGTAGGGCCACGGTTTTGCCTTTAGTGTTACAGAATACGGTGTTTTGGCCACTCGGGTCTTCCGCTGACCTTGAGCCGGTAAAGTTATCTACTAGTTGCTGGGCTGGGGAATTCATTTTGATCTTATACTATGGGATAATAACAGTGAAGCTCACCAACAAAGTATTTCAGAGCTTTCGAATATAGAAGAGTCGTCATGTGGCGGGAGATAGCACTTGCCTAAAGGATCATGACCCTTATAGGTGAAACACCTAGTAAGGATAGCGTTTCCTACCTTGCAGCGGAGTAGAATATCAAAGACAGCGTTACCCCTTTCGATGATGACAAATGGCTTGGTCAATTCAATTATGCCGTGAAACTACAAGGGATTGGCGTTCCGAAAGTAAGGTAACCTATTATATGAGAAGAATACGATGCGCTTCTACTCCGTACCTTGGAATGAGCCACGTTTGCAAAGCCCGAACGAGAAGATTCCTTGTTTTTGGTTTTGAATTTAGGTTGAAGTGGCCCGTGGCCCGCGCGGGAAGGACCCTTACGAATGTTTTAAATTATTAAACATTAATCCGTAGGACCCCGATAATCGTCGAAGAATGCCAAGCGTTCAGAGTTATCTATCTCATAAATAAGACACGTAAGACACGTAACTTCCTACGTGTGGTGCTTTTGAGCCCGATTATGTATGTTCTAGACGTAGTTTAGGCGGAAAATCTAGATAAATGCATCCACATGTTTTAGTTTCTCCACCGACTCTGGTCGAAAGTCCTTCGACGGTGATGATGCAACTACTGCCAAGGCATCAACCGCATATAAGAAGTCTTGTGGCCAGCAATAAATATGCAAAATGATAGGGTTATTGCATAGGGTTGTCATTAGGTGTGGATTCCGGTATGTACATCCGTTCCCCATGATATGCCCGCTTGCATGCGTGGCTGATGACGCCACCATATTTTATCCCTGAGTTCTCAGTTCACCCCACTAGAGAATACGTATACCGAGGGTCCTGGCTACCGTGATTGGTGTTTGGAATTCGATGGACATGGAATTGCCAGATGTGGAAGAGTAGTAGACACTAGTTGAATCTGGGTGGGCCTCGCGCAGATCGTGACGACGTTAGAAGTCCCGCCACTCAAATAGCTTAGAGTGGAAATTTTGTGTAGTTCAGCTCTAACCAAGGTGTTAAATAGTCTATATAAATCATACTCAATCTTGAGCAATTGTTCTGCGTTGCTAAGGCTCCTCTGCTAGTACCTTAGAGCGTGGTAAAGAAATAGATATCTTCTAGGGTTCTTATATTGTACAGGTAGAATCTAAGACTAAAAAAAAAAAAAAAAAAAAAAAAAAGACTGAACCAGATGATTATTATAGTTTCTCAGAAATTATATGCTTGGTTGAGAGGATCCACTTTACTCCGTCATAAGGAATTTTGTTAGTAGTCAGGTAGATCATTCCCGACAGCTAGTTGGCCTGCTTACATTAGTTCCAGCCTAATAATCGTAATTACACTTATCTCGGTTGATATGGTCCTTATTACTGGCAATAAATCTCAGTGTAATAGTTCATATACTAGTTTAAGGAGTAGGATGCGACTCTTATAGGGCAGGGGATGTTCTAGAATTGGCCAGGAAGGTATAGCGAATCCCTTGCAGATATACATATGCCGAGTCGGGCTCAGGAAGATTGAGCATTATCGGGCGATAATTCGTCATACGGACAGGGCAATAATTGACGGATTCAAACTCAAGTTCATTTTATTCCACTCATAGGTGCACTACCTTACGGTGGTCATACGCAAAACTATCTAGCAAATCACCCTGAACGCTGAGGCAAACATTGTATACAGGCAGAAAAGAAAGAATATCACAAATCAATCCGAAGTCGACACCTCTCTGCATTAATCCCCTGAAATGGCCTCCTCTTCCTTCCCTCTGCATCAACAACCTCATATTCTCCAACCACGAATTCCGCCATGACAGTCGCCCGAAACGGCTCGGGAGGATTCTCCCAAACCCGCCGAACAGCGGCACTCCCGGTTCGAATCTCGATCACTTCGTAACCCCACCTCTTTGCCTCCCTCATCAACCACCACGCCGTACCCTTCATGATCCCGCGCCGCTCATAATCACCCCGAGTCGCGAGCGATCGCGCCATCAGTACTTTGCCCCGACGTAGTTTCCCGCATCCAGCACTGGCGTAGCCAGCCCGAGCAGAGGGAGGGATCAGAGACTCTAGGTGACTGAACATATCTCGGGCAACTGGGAGACTGTCGTAGTAATCTTGCAGTTTGGCCTCATCCGGCGGGTCGGTGGCATCATAGCTCAGCGCAATGGAGACGAGCGGGAAGTCCATCTGCTCGAGGAGCTGCTCCGTTGTCGCCTTTAAGTCCGTTTCATCCCAATACAGCTGTCCGCCTGTTTCAGCGGAGGAGGGAAATCGAAATTGATATTCTGTGTCGAAGACTCCGAAGGATATGCCTGAGTTTATCAGATGGCGTACAAGAGAGTCCATTGCATGGAACTGGCGGTAGGCAAGCGCAGTCTGGTTACCTGGTTGAAGGGTTGGCCAGATAGAGGAGGGGGACGTGTTGGCTTGGACGAGGAGGGCTTTGGTCCATGTTAGATGGGAGAGTGTGAGCGGGCGAATTTGGTAACGATTTGAGAGCTGGGGTTGGGTTATTGTCATTTTGGGCAATGAGAGGGATCTGGAGGAATAGATCTAGTATCCGTGATTTGAAGAATACTTCATATGATGTGAAGAAATGGATAGTGTTGAGCCACGGGGTTGGAGCCTGCTATTTATCTTATCTACCTGGTCGGTCAAAATGAGATAACCATGACAATACCATCGGCATCCAGGGAGACCGCATCATACTGGTTGGGGACTCGCTGTGGTAGGTAGGGTGTGGGAAGATTATGCTGATCCCTCTGGGCGTTGTTTGTCTACCGTTTCCCTTCCACACATCTTGCCTGCTGTATACAAACCAAGATAGGGCTTGGGAGGGGCAGTGATACCTCTTGGCACAGATGTCGGATCCTACTATAGCATAGGCCAATCGATCGGCCTGACTCATTGATCTACAGTATGAAACCTGCCCCTACCCGATCTGGGGATCCCCTAAATCTTGACCCTGCAAGACACGTAATGCCCTGCTTCCTTGGCTTCATGTGGCATGCAGCTTCCATCAATATCTAATGTATCCATTTCGCATAGCATATCGAGAGTGCACTCCTTCTAGTTTCAGAAAGACGTGTAATCGAAGCTAATCCCTACCCTTCCTATAGAAATCACCCCCGCCGGCCCTTCTAGCTTGGTATTCATAGGCTTCAGTTTGACTCACCCCTTGCAGTGAACTACGACTGATCTTCCAATATTCAAAGAGTAGAAAATGTTTGCAGGCTTGGCATCCTGAAACGCCTAGGGACGCTTTCCAGAACACGCAATGCACAACGTACATCTGCGTCTCCGAGCAGCATAAAAGGGGTGACTGCAATGCTGCTTTATCCAGACCGTAAGATTGTGTTGTCGTCATCCTATTGATTGCCAAGAGTACGTTTCCCTCCGGCTGCTTCGTATTGGGCACCTGTATTTATCTTTTCTTCTTGTTCCTGCATCGCCGTTCACACCGTAAGTTGCCATGGCGGTGCACGAAAGTGATTGTTCTTCCTCGACTGAACCTCATTCGACCGAGGAGAAATCCATCACGCCGAACATCCAAGAATCCGTAGACAGTCATGACATCTACAATCGGTTCTCGCCCGGTCGCAAGGTGGTTATCACCATAGTCCTCGTCTGGTCGTTGTTCCAGACTACACTCAGTTCGACCGCTGTCGTAACGGCCATCCCAGAGGTGGGAGCCACCTTTCATACCACCGACAGCACGGTCGCCTTGTCCAATGCCTTGATGGTTCTCTGCCAGATGACGGGGCCCATGCTATATGCCCCCGTCGCCAACACCTTTGGTCGCCGGCCCATCCTGCTCACCGCAAATGCACTCTTGGCTGCGTTTAGCCTGGGCACCGGTTTGGCACCGAACCTCCCAGCTTACTTTATCCTGCGTTTCCTCACCGCGCCGCAGGTGACAGCCATCCAGGTCGTCGGCGCCGTGGTCATCGGGGATATTTACCCGCCTACCGCCCGCGGTCGCGCACTGGGATGGTTGATGGTGAGCACAACGGTAGCACCCGGCCTGGCTCCGCTGCTGGGTGGAGTGGTCGTGACCTACACCGTGTGGCGGGTGATCTTCTGGGCACAAACCGGCATGGCGGCCCTCTCCGTGCTGCTACTGGCCGTGTTCCTACCGGAGACAATCCACGAGAAGAAGACTCAACTCTTCACAGGCTTGTCCCGCTCCGGGAAAGTAGTGCAATTCATCCGCCTCATGAATCCATCGGAGATATTCACGCTTCTATTCTCGTCTCGGAGCTTGCTCATCAACGGCATGAGCGTCGCTTCCCTGCACTGGAATCAGTTCTCGATCCTGACGCCGATCCGCCAGGTGCTCAACCCGCTCTTCCATCTGAACTCCCCCCTCCAGGCGGCCCTCTTCTACTTGGCGCCATGTGCCGGATACCTTACGGGGACGCTCTGCGGCGGGCAACTGTCGGACTGGGTCGTGCGACGGTACATGCGGCGACGCGGGCGACGCGTGCCGGAGGACCGGCTGAATACTGTGGTGGCAGCGGTGGGGATCGCCATGCCGGTGTGTGCGCTGGTTTACGGCTGGGCGGTGCAGGAGGCTGTTGGCGGCATCCCCCTGGTGGTGATCGCGCTGTACATCCAGAGCGTGTGTCATGTGGCGGCATTTGTTAGCCTGAACGTCTATTGCGTCGACGTGATGGAGGGCACGGGCAAGAGCGCACTGGCCGTTGCGGGCAGCTACATGGTTCGCAACGCGGCGGGCGCCGTGGGAACCGCTTCGTGTCTTCCTGCCATTGACGCGATTGGGGTAGGATGGTTTATGACCATCAGTGCCGGCTTCCTGGCGGTCGCGGGGAGTTTTTTGTGGTTGGCAACACGGTATGGGGAGGGGTGGCGTGTGCAAAAGGCGGCGAAGGGGGGAAAGTAATGAGTATCCTTTGAATCATTGCTTTGTTCTGTATAGTATTTTTTTTTTTTTTTAGGCTTTTGTACAGTATTATGGTTCCCAATAAACGATGTGCTTCCCGCGCCACCCCCTACCGGCGAAGGTGTAGGGTTACTGTTATAGGGCGCTAGACGAGATGCCGATGGTATGTGCTCAGTGTCAAGATCAAAGATGTCTGATCTAGTTGGCCAAGGTATATGGCTACGACAAAGATACGGTGGGGACCCGGTTCGGACATCGCACAGTGCACATCAGATACGACCACGACCATTCACACTCTTACCCTCAGTCCGTACTCTTGCGGGGAAAGACCGTCCAGTTATCCCCATTCTGTTAGTCAGGAAAGCTTGCCCCACACGGGTAAGGATTCCGATTCGGATCTGGTACCGACCTTGCTAGTTATATCAATCGCTACAACCCACCAAACGATCCCACCCTTCCCACTCTCAGACATCCCGAAAGCCTCGAGCCAAGACGGTCTCAGATAGAACATACCACCGGCATTTCGCAGGGCAAATCGATTAATCAGAATGGCTGAAGTGAGGAAATATCACCTGTCTCCTACGGATCTCATTCCCAACTCACCGAGACCACTACTCCACTACAAGAATGTCCTAGCCAAGCAGAATAACTCGCACTGCGACCCTGTCGATGTGTGGGATATGTTTACAAAGAATGAATGGAACGTACACTGGATATTCCGCTACAATCCTACCCAAGTATCTCATTACCATTCCCAAGCACACGAAGGTATGGCCGTTCTTTCTGGCACTGCCAGTATCCGATTTGGTGTGGCGGACACCTCACCAGACATGGAAGAGAATACACACGGCTCCGCATGGGAGGAAGGTGGTGTTCTACTAGAGGCGGAAGCTGGTGATGTATTCATTATACCAGCCGGCGTGGCACATAAGACACACAACACTAAGCCGGAAGCTGAGTTTGCTCTTTTGTCACCGGGAACAGGCCACGGTATCAGGGCCGAGGATAAGAACGCTTTGTCCGAGATTAAACTGGACGGATTTACTATGATGGGGGCTTACAGCGGGGGTGACTGGGATTTTGTTGCAACCGGAGGTGATTTTGAAAAAGTGTGGTCTGTTCCGAAGCCAAAGTACGACCCTGTTTTTGGAGATTCGGAGCGAGGGCTTTGCAAGACATGGCGAGGAAGTAATACTGAGTCCAAGAGCCAATTGTAAGCTCTGTGTGAGATTGTATGTTGTTGTAAATGACAGGGTTGCTCCTAGCGGGTTAATAACATTGTACATATCGCAAAAACAAAGACGTACATTCGTTGGGTCTACCATTAGGAGTACCATGCATGCAATTCATTTCTAATTTGTTACTGACTTGCATGGGTTCTGACACTGCTCGGCATCGGCTTCTTATCAATGATCGGAGGCTGTCCCGAGCCGTGCAGCCTCCTTTGACATAGTCTGTCTAAGCTCCTGAAACCGTGACCTCCGCTGAAAGTAACATGCATTGCATTCCTGATCTCCTTAAGCTCAGCCTTATGCCCTATTTTATTCAAATTGTGCGCGAAGTCGAGGTCTCTATCGTATATGATCTCGGCGGACTGGTTTGAATAAAGATCGGCTTCTCGGTTCGGAACTCTCTCCCGAGTGGGCAACTATAACTTTTTCTGGATGGTTGTCTCATATGATGTATCCCGACGTGCTATATGATATATAAGGTTGCCTTTGAAAGGGGGACATGTGCACAGCTCAAGCAACATTTATGAATTATGCTCACCAGTGGGAACTTGCCTCTGGTACGCTTATACGAAATCTACTACGTAAGACGTACGGCAGATGACCACTTGGTTAGGGATATCTCCCCGAATACTGAACTAATGATGACCTCGAGGACGCCTTGGTTCATGAAAGTGTTTCGTCATCGGGTCATGGGCAAGAACAATAAGCAGATAAAAATGGGGTGGAATTCACCAGCTCGTGGACCCCAAGCAAGACATCCAATAACAAAGCGAGTGCTGAATAATCTGCTCGGCTTAGAGTGAATGATCATACGGGATCAACCAGCCTCGTTACCCTAGAAGGTGTACGGTATTCCTTCTCAAACATAGACCCCAGTGCGCATTGCAACGCCATAATACTCCCCTCGAGACCAACCTTCACGCCGCACTTCCCTCAGGCCCATAATCATCGATTATATTCGTTATTGGTTTTCTGCTTATCTCAGAAACAAAGCATGTCAGCCGAACGCGAGACTCCGCCGCCTCCAGCTAACCAGGCAAACACAGATGATCAAGTCGTGGGTCTTTTACACCAACTGGAGGAGATCGATCTGTCCGATGGAAAGCAAAAAGGAAAGGGTCGAGCTGATGAGCCTTTAGACATTGATCTGGCGCTGACAGCGTTTCGGAATGAGGTGCAATCCCACATTGGCTTTTCGAATGACCTTAAGCTTGCCCATAGTATTGGCCATGCTGTTTATACGGACGGCCCAGCTATCGCAGTCATCACGCAGAGAGAGTTGCAAGCCCAGCGTGATAGACATCTGGCAATAACCCTCAGCGCCGATGATCCGGAGCTTCGGAACCCTCCGCTTGGAACTATGCATAGCCAGTCTCATGAAGTACACATAACTAAGGACCTCCTTAGTGGAGAGGGCCATTTTGATCGTGATTCTGGTGAAGACAAAGGTGGTCCGTCGCAAACATATGCAGAGCGCCAGAAAAAAGCGATGGGGAAGCTATCTCATCCAAACCTACCATGTTGTACCTGCTTCGAGAACTTTCAATCAAGCGACATAATTCGATTGCACTGTGGTGACCTCTACTGCACCCAATGACTTAGGAGCCTTTTCATGAGAGCCACTAAGGATGAGCAACTATTTCCGCCGAGATGTTGCCGTCAACATATTCCCTTTTCCCTTTTAGTCCAACAAATGACCACAGAAGAAAAGGATGCGTTCCAGAGTGCAAAAATTGAATTTTCCACAACCAACAGAACCTACTGCAGCAACACCGTCTGTGGCAGGTTTATAATTCCGAGTGACATATCATCCGCCCAGGCAAAATGCGAGTACTGCGGCTCCTCAACTTGGACAATGTGCAAAAATGCCTTTCATTGTGATGATTGCCCAGAAGACACCGCTCTCCAGGAAATGTTGGAACTTTCTGCAAGCCAAGGATGGCAGTGTTGTTCCTCATGCAGGGCAATGGTTGAACTGACAACAGCTTGCTACCACGTGACGTATGACTTGTTTCCTCTCCTGAGCTCTGAACTCCATCCTGCGGCAAGACTGACACAATGTTTAGATGCAACTGCAAGGCCGAATTCTGCTACCTGTGCGGCATAAAGTGGAATTCCTGCCGCTGTGAAATGTGTGGGGCACGCCATTGGAAATAGATTTTGCGGTGCCGTCGTTGTTATTTCCAAGTGTGTGAGGATTGTCGGAGGCATCATATATAATGATTTGGTCGCCGAGGTTCTATGGCAATTTGAGCTATAATTATTCCATGCACTCGTTCAATGTAGTAGTGGAATTGGACGGATATTTCTCCAGGGACTGGTTTTGAGGCTCTACGCTTTGTCTGGGACATCCACCTCAATACAAAGGACTGCTCACCCAGTAACCCACAAGGGGAGTTCCAAAAAGAATAGGAGTTATTTATGTTTAGTTATGGATGGAAAAGGCACCAAGATCAGTTCCCAACTGCTAATGTTTCCAATTTAACCACGTATATTTCCCCACCGGGCGATGATATCGCTATCTACAGGAGAGTACATTTATGAGCACTTTCTCGCACAGGATTTGGCGTGTCCCTATATGCTGGAGGCAGTACACCTTCCAATGACGCCTTGATCTGCAGGGCTATTGTCCGCGAGTGCCACCGGTGCTGTTGCGTATAGCCACCCGCGACCCAGAGATTGTCAAGGCGCGATTGACGCCTCCACAATCCACGTATCTCGCCCTCGGCATCAATACCCCACGTCCCGTCAAGACGATCAGCGATTTCATGAGGGCCAAGCATGTGCGTAGGTTCATTATCGGTCTCATTACTGGACGAGTGTCCACCCAAGATTCGGATGGCAGTGTCGCGCACGTTCTTGTCGGCAAATCCTGTGCACCACACCACTGCATCGGCATCGGCGGAGCTCCCGTCCGAGAATCGTAGTCCAGTCGGTGTGTAGGCGATGGGCTCGACTCCGGCTTTCACACTCGCTCTACCGTCCGCTAGCAGCTTGGTACCACCTACATCCACGTAGTGCCCACCCGCTCGCTCCAGCAAGTTATGCATCAATGCCATGTCCGGGTTGCGACTGTCAATAACCGGGAAGCCGGCGGCTGCGAGAGCGTCGTAGCGATGCGGTTCCTGCGTTGCGAACTGCGTCATTATGCCGCGAGCGAGCTGGGCGTCTACATACGACGGTAGTGTCAGGAAAAGTCGATCCGCTATCTCGACACCCATATCATATGCGCCGAGACTGTGCTTGTCGCAGAGATAGTCGACTGGGACAATGTAAGTTGGTGATCGAACGACCATTGTTGTCCGGAGACCGGCGGCATGGCAGTCTTCCAGAACGTCGAAAGCAGTGTTGGCAGATCCAATTACTAGAACAGACTACGGGAAATACTTTGCGCTTAGCAACGCTGCCTATGATTCTGTGGTATGATCAAGCTGATTTGGAGAACACCCACCTTGGCACCCGTCTCTGCTAACTGCTTTGCATTCCGATACTGAGCCGAATGGAGAGTGGTTCCTTGGTATAGATTATCGTCCGCCACCTTTGGCAGATAGGGCTCCTGCGACGAGATGCCGGTCGCAAGCACGAGATGTTTAGAGTGGGCTGTGTGTTGGCCGGCAGGGGTCTTGAGCTGGACCTCCCAAAGCTTGGCCGATGGGTCATATCTGGTTGACAGGATCTGCGCGGAGGTGATGATGTTTAGATTAAAGGCTTCGACATAGCGCTGGACCTGCGAAGCCAGCTCATCTCTAGTCAGGAGGTGTGGAGCTCGAAGTTCCTCCTCATAAGCTAGTTTTGTGAACTCGATGTTAGTTTTTGCTCTCCTCGACTCTTGCTAGCCCGATGATGCTTACACATGTAGGGCAAGTCACAGAATGATGTTGGAATGTGGAACCGCATGCAATCATAGCGAAGAGCCCAGTTATCGCCAGGTCGGGGATTACGCTCGGCCATGACGCTCTCTACACCTAATGCTTTGAGACGTGCCGCCACAGTGACAGCGCTACACAGTGTCAACTCTGTCGGGATTGGTGTCTTTACATAACTTACGCGTTTCCGCCTCCAATAATAAAGACATCTGTGTCAAATATTGGAAGGCCAGCCAGCTGCCTTCCAGGAGAGTGGAGCAATGCCTCGTCCTCTTTCTGCAAGTCCAAACTCTCGAGGAAGGTACTTAGCACCCAAATTTTCCACTCAATTGTCTCATGACGGGCTTTGACAGGAAGTAGAACCACCTTCCCTTTGCACGTCGCGCCAGGTGATCGAGTTCGGAAAATGATCCCACAGTCGATGAATTGCTGCATTCACGAATCATGGTTAGCTACAACATCCAGGCACCTGCACTCTCTGCGTTTCAATTAGCGGCTCACAAGCGTCGGCGTGGCTGGGAGGAAGACAGCGCCTCCATCGATAGCAATTCCCTCTTCAACTTCCCTCAAGCTCTTCGTTTCTAGTAAGCTGGCCGCAATTACGTTAGGGCCGCTGAACGTGCGTAGGTGGTAGGTGAGCGCCAGCTGATCCTTCCAATATGCCTGACCGGCAAAGAAACAACTCTCGAGGGCGATGGGATCGTCGTCCGCCAGTGCAGCGTTCAGGCGGTCCAAAACAGCGCGCGCCTGCTTCACCGGCTCATCGCCAGCCATGGAATCTGGATCTATCGTGCCGGGAGGGATCGTAGGAATTGGCTGCTGAGCCATCATCTGGCGCAGATCCGCTCTTGGCGGGTACTCATGGTGTAACGAGGACGGGAAGTCGTCTGTACAATTGTTATGCGTTGGATTCTACCTCATTTGGACTGATCATCTGCGACATCCTGGGAAACTCACTGGAAGACATGGTGTAAGTTGCAGTGTATGAGGTGCTGAATCCTGCAGGCGGGGGATGGCAGCATTTAGCAGCTGCCTCGCATCTGTATGACAAGGCTATCTGAGTCCAAGCGTGTGATTAATCGTCAGATATCCACATCTAGACTGGCATCGCCATGCGGAGCAAATGCCGTAGTGTGCATTTATTGGCCAGGCCTGGTCTCGTGAAAGCCTAGCGCAACAATGGATTTTAATTGGCGCTCACTAGTGGTGAGGACTCGTAACTCAATTGTTAACTTTACGAGATGTATCGCGAGGATTCCAAGTATTTTACTGCCATTTCCGGCCACGATCGCGTCAACCGTGGCGTTAGATGATCTGAGCACCGCATCTATCTGGATTAAACGAGACATCGAGCCCCTTTAAAGGTTCGCTACCGGTCTGTACAATTTGGACAGGGGCGACCCGACCGGTGGGACCCACTGGCGGCAAATGGCGCAGAATCCAGAGTACAGGTCCATCCACCACATTGAGAGCAGGCCTTAGCGTAGCGACATGTCGTCCCGCGACAACATAGCAGCCTATGAGAGCTAACACAGGTGGGTCGACTGATGGCTGGTTGGAAGTTAGAGGAAGCTAAAGTGAACGGATTCGTCCTTCCGGCCCTTAGCGTGCAGGCATGTTATCTTCTGGTTTTGCCCTAAGAGCTGTCAGATAACGGCACGACGGGTCCCAATAGGGGGTACCGCTACTTAGTGGGTCATGACTTGTCTCTTCGAGAAACAAAGTACGGAGTATGGAGCCAAGAAAGCCTTTGTCTGTGAAACTTGCAGCTTGCTAGAGAAGCAGCCTTCATTTTATCGAGGGCTTTACAACAAGCTTGGCAAAACCTTACCCGAGTGTCGGTTCCCAATTGACAGGTCCGGGGCAGCTTTTGCTCTTTCTTAAACAACATGGACATGCCCACTTTCACACGACCTGTCCGTCTCTGTTCTGGCGGCGACGAACGTGAAAATGTCCCCTGAAGAGCTCGACGCCCTGCTCGCGGCGCCGGCTCTCGCACCACCACCCGGGGTTACGCCCAATTTCGATAATCCTTCACGCCACAATGACTATGCTTGGGGTATCACAACGGTTTGTATGGTCATCGCGACTCTGTGCCTCTTTCTACGCTGGTACGTCCGGATCTGGCTGGACAGGAGAGTGCGCATTGAAGATGGTAAGATGAATCACGTACCCAAAAAGCGTGGCTAACACCTTCCTAGTTTTGACAATTGGTGCATATGTGTGTCTTCTTCTTCTCACGAGACAATCACATTTCCCATGTACTAATCATCTCTAGGGAGCCTATTGGGGTACTGCGTACGCTGCCTATGGGATGATTTATACTCCCGGCTATTACGTCCACACATGGGACCTTCGTAACCGAGACCTTATCCGGCCACTCTATGTAGGTTTCTCTACGGTTGTGCGAACGTGTGATCGGACCTAATCTACTTGTACTATCAGCTCATCTTAGTTTATGGCTGTTGCTACTCCGCAACCCTTCCACTGATTAAGACGGCCATTTTGATGGACTGGTGTCGGGTATTTGTCTCTGTTAACCGATCGAAGAGCTTCTTCTGGTGGGGATGCATGGCTGTGTCATTCGTTCAATGCCTGTGGGGGCTCCTATGCATTCTCCTGCTCAATATGCAATGTCGCCCGCACCGAGCCATCTGGGAATTCTACCTTCCGAGTAAATGCTACTCGCTCCCAAACGTAATGCTTTGCTCCGCGAGCGTGCAAGTCATCTCCGACGTATGCATGTTCTTGCTGCCGCAGAAGATGATATGGAGTCTCCACATGAACTGGCAGAAGAAGATGGGAATTTCAATCATTTTCGGTGTCGGTATTCTGTCAGTGCTCAACCCAAGCATATCCCCAAATGAATCTTAACCACCTGCCGAAGCAATTCTAACTCTGGTGCAGCGCCTCAATTGCAGCCTGCTTCCGCCTAGCCCACACCGTCACCTTCGCCAAGTCAACCGACAGCATGTACTTCATTGGGCCACTTCTATTTTGGGCCTGCGCCGAGATGACTTGCGGTTTCTTCATCTTCAGCGTGCCCTGCCTATCGAAGCTAGCCATGGAGTCTGGGCTCCGAAGCAGATTGTCCAGCGCTCTCGGCCTCAGCGGCAAGTCCATCAGCGGTCCTTCTAACCAGGGCGGAAACTCCAATTCTGGGCCTCGCTCCAAGCCCAAGCCGAAGCCATGGATGATGTCGGAAACGAACTACTCAAAGATTGAGGAGGGCAGTGTTATCCCGCTAACAAACGTTTCAGTATCGCAGAATGATCCCGGCGAGGGGCGCCTTTCACGCGATGGAAACAAGTCTCCAATTGGGGTGATCCGGACAATGGATGTCGATGTCAGGTCTACCGATGGCTCCGGTATTAAGCTCCAAGATCACCGCGTACCTTGGGAACACTGAAAAACCTTTCGTACCTTGCGGTATTTGGCGTTCCTGGTGTAGTGCTAATTATGATGGGAAGGAGTACGGAAGATCTTGCACTTCAGGTTTTGGGAGTTCTTTTCATAACTCGATGGAGTTCTAAAAGCAACGATTAACATTATAGTTCTATTTAATTCATGTATTCTCTTTTGTTTTATCATGCGCAATATGCTTAAACCAAATCACTGTTGCTGTTTTGGAATACGTACCATAGTTCTCCACTATCGGACAGCCTTTTCCGGCATTTACAGATCTACACAACGACATCAGCATTGAGAGTATAGACAGTTAATAACTGAGGCCGTATTATACAAATCCGATCTTTGGCCCTCCACCAGGACGAGTTATTGATAGGATACTCCGTATTCTGCGGTCGGGGTGCGTGGTCTATATAGATGGCCTCCTCGCCTACCTACCTCTCCTCGTTGTTTTCCCATCTTTTGACGCCGGGTCGACTCAGGCCAACTCGAGCCATTTTTGCCGTTGGGGCGACTTGTACTGCAATGAGTCAGGATCGTGTCACATCGTGCCTTTCAGACGTTCCTCCAATCGATCTTTTCTCCTTTTAAGTGACCGAGAAAATGCAATAGAATACCGCGCAATCGCGAAATTGCGCAGGCGGCTTACTCTGAGAATCTCCACCATATCTATTATGAATGACACTTGCGGGACAAGATTGAAAAAACGGGCGATATGTGGCACAGATCATATGGGTAGATCGCGATGAGCGGTACGATGGTAGTCTCTTAAGACCCAAGTCGACTGTGCTAAGCCACGTTTGATATTCAGACATCACTCTGTCCGCTGTTTTGCCAATCATGTATGTTGACTTAGGGGTGCGGTGTCAATCGCCCAGATCCCGGTCCCACGCCCTAAATCTAAGAAGCGACCGTTGTTGGTATGGGCGACGTGAATTAGTCAGTCAGGCTGCAGCGCTTTCATGAACATGGTATGGAGAAAACCAAGACGGTCCTTCTCCAGTTCATTACAGGGTAGCATGTAGCTCTCGATTCCTTGTCCCTGAAATAGACGATGGTTTTAAGCTCGGCCAGAAAGCGGTAACCAATCAAATGAGCAAGCGGCGCAGGTTTGGTGGCGTTATGGTGGCGTATCAATGTGCCCTTTCTCAGGTACACCTAGAATAAATCGAAACTTCTACAGATTCAAATTTCGTAGAGTCGGCTAGACAGGCCCCAGATGCAAGGTACCTCAAATATCCGAAGAACGAGTCTCAAGTTCCTGGACCTGGCGAGAAGCATGAAAGTCGAGTTTGCTAGTAGAGAGAAGGACTTCGTTCCTCCACACCCGATATAACTCTGTCAAATGATAATATACTTTCAATGATAAAATACTAAACAGATAGAGATAACAGTTTTGGGTATAGTTGAAAAAAAAAAATAAGATAAATTAAAATAAAATAAAATATGCCGTCAAGGTGACGTGTCGCCACCCCATGAATGACAACATAGTCTGGTTCCGACCCACATCTAGAATTAATGTATCGTTCATTGTACACCTAGAGAAAGAACGCTTACTGCCGTTTGTTGTATAAAGTAACTCCCTATAAGACTCGCTTAATCGATTGGCTGTCCTGACAGGGCACCAGACAGTGACCTAACCAAGCTCTCTGCAGACTTGCCACTTTGGACCTCCCATTGATGCTTGGTGGAATCACTGCTGTCTACAACTCACCATGCAAGGATCAAGGAATAGGAACCAACACAGTGAAGCCGGCAATAATACCATATGTGCAAAGAAGGGTGGGTGTGGGCAAGCTTCAGGCCATGCCACAACGGCAACTAGGCCACCGACATCGTCATTCGCGCGTGCATTATGGAATTTTTCTTCACAATGGTTTCTTATTCCTCAAGGGACCGGCATCCTAGCTGTGATCCTTCACCAGCTGGACTATCAGTTTAGGGGCCTCCCAATAATCTCAGTTATCGTCTGGGTATACACTATCGTCTTGCTGGTGATTGGGTTATTCCTCTACACGCTCCGAATACTTCTCTACCGTCGTCACGTCGCTCATATGCTAAGAACAAGCATTATAGAGACTTCTTGTCTAGCGAGCATCCCCATCATACTTACCACAATCATCCAGATGACTGCCCTAGTACTGGTACGGCAATGGGGTGCAGCATGGGGTATCGTCGCCTACGTTCTATGGTGGATCAATACTGCAATGGCAGTCGTCGTGGTGATGGGAATTCCATACGTCTTTGTGAAAATCCAGTCACCAGGTGTTAAGGCGGTCCTACCAGGAGTGCTTCTCCCGCTGATCTCAACACTCACCTCCGCCGCTGGTGGAGGTGTTATCTGTCGATACGGAGCTCTAGGGAGCCGATTGCAGGTTCCCGTTATCATCGTCTCTTTTCTTGAAGTTGGGCTAGGGCTCACGCTAGCAATCACGTTGACAGATATCTTTATGACAAGGCTCTTCGACCAAAGCTTCCCCGCTGTGGAAGAAATCTATCAGGACATGATTCTTTGCGGTCCATTCGGTCAAGCCAGCTTTGCGTTACAGATTCTCGGACAGGCGGTGTTGCGCGGCGCTTTCGCCGATTATGATCGTGGAACCTTCTTAACGGCTGAGGCTGCTAAGCCCATTGGGTTCGCTAGCGAACTGGCTGGTCTTCTTGTCTGGGGATATGGCACATTCTGGTGGTGTTTTGCTATTCTTAGTATATCCCATGCCTTGATCTCTCGCGTAAGACACCGACAACAGATTTCCTTCACCTTGGCCACTTGGTCTCTGGTCTTCCCCTGGGTAAGTCTGAAATACTGCCAGAGCCCTTGACAAGGTTTACTCACGGATACAACAGGGTGTCTATACGAATGCCGCAGTGGAGCTAGGGAAATTAATGGACTCACCGGCCTTTAAAGTGTGGTCAACAGCTCTACTTATTATTCTCCTTGTGATCTGGATCGTGAACCATTATTTCACAGTCAAAGGATTAGTCACAGGGGATCTGCTGGGTTTAAAGTAGAGGCCCCGGGTCATCCAAGTTGTCTTGAAAGCGCCCCGATAACTGTAACTCGTGGCAGTAGTGGTCTTAGACCAAATTGGGTATAGCCTACCTAGAATAATTAAGGCACGAACGCGCAGCGCGGAAGGGCCACGCTATTTTAGCTAAAGGCCACGCACGATCATGGTTGGTTAGTCAATTAACAACTGCTTTGGTAATTATGTAATAGCATTTTCTGGATACACTAAACTGCATATAGTAAAGACCGCCGTCCGTCAGGCAACAAGGCACAAGCGGGTGCAGCTGCACAGCCCTAGTGATAGTCTCATTCTCCAGACCATCGTGTACGAGCCTTGGCATATTTGCCCAATTTAGCGTTGGTGTGCTTAGAATACGCTTAATTGCGTCATGTAGCATAAGGGACTGTCAATAGCTATGTCGTTGATTTACGTGTGAACAATGTGGATGAGGCTTCCACGTTCCTCTCATCCATTCGGGCAACGTAGCCAAGAAATATCGGTAACTTCGGAGCTGCTCGTATTCGGTTCAACCACTGATCTACATGGTATCTCCATAATAACCAACTATCGTGATGCCGAATCAGGCAAGTCTCGTATTCCTATATCTTGGTAGCTATGTCGGTTTAGATATAAATATGATTGCAAGGTCAGCTTTGCAAGTTGTATCAAAGCAGCAGCTCAGGAACTTATGAACATATATATTCAAGCTCCTGCTCTTACACATACTCATAAACTAGAATATCATCGAAACGAATTCCATTAAATACTCATGCTCCAACATCTCCTCACAGCCGTCGGCATTCTCTCCGTCGCAACTGACGCACAAACGCAGCCCCGGCGCCGATGTGCCTACGGAGACGACTGCTGGCCAGATATTCAAACATGGAACGACTTCAACGCCACCGTTGGTGGAAGACTGATTCGCTCCGTACCCTCTGCAGCAGTGTGCCACACTGAGCGGTACAATGCAGAGAAATGCACCGTCGCAAAGGATAGCTGGCTGGATAGCTTCTGGAGAACGAACCAAACAGGGGCATATGCTGCTACTGTATGGGAAATGGGACAGACTGGACAGTGTTTCATTAATACATCTGTCAGTGCGCCGTGCGACCAAGGGATAGGTATAGTCGCCCTCAGTTATCTTGATCAGAGGGATTATTGTGAAGTTGCTTATTCTTGGATTCTGTCAATTTAGTACCATATTATATGGTGCGTGCGGGGAGTATGGAGGATATCCAGGCCTCTGTGAAGTTTGCAAGTGAGAAAGATCTCTTGCTGGTGACGAAGAATACTGGTCATGATCAGTGAGCTATTACCCGCACATAATCTGTGGCTTTCGCTAATAATATTCATCTTAGCCTCGGCCGCTCAAGCGGAAAAGGATCGTTTGGGATCTGGACGCATAATTTGAAGGGCATTGAGTTCCACGATTCATTCACGTCCCAGGGTGCACCGGCTGACACTAGTGGTATACCCGCAGTAACCTTACAGGCGGGTGAGCAATGGTTTGGTAAGTCAAGTGTCAGACATGACACCATGAGACTGGACCCTGACGTGGCGATGTAGACGTGTACCAAGCCGCCGCAAAACATGGAGTGTTGGTCGTTGGCGGTTCGGCGCGCACCGTTGGTGCTGCTGGAGGATATGTCCTTGGGGGTGGCCATTCGCCCTTTGCGCATTATTATGGTCTTGCAGCAGATAGTAAGTGGGAGGACATCTTTTGGCTGTTGCACATATGCTAAATACATTGCAGATCTCCTGGAAATGACCATTGTTTCCGCTGATGGTGAGCACCGAGTGCTGAATACCTATACAGATCCGGACTATTTCTGGGCTGTTCGAGGTGGAGGTGGAAGTGCCTGGGGTGTGAGTCCATATGGAAGGCGTTAGATTCACCGTGAATGGAAGGGCAGGCTAACGCTTATGGTTGTCAGGTCGTCACATCGGTCACCTACAAAACTCATCCAGTCCCACAGAACCTCACAATGGGTCTAGTCCAATTAAACGCAACGAACACATCTAGCTTCAAACGCGTCATAGCGGAATCTGTCAAGCTGCTACCGGCTATCACAGAAGCGGGCTACACAGGATACGGGACGCTAGAAAATGGTTTCGCCGCTCTCTTCCTTAAGCCCAACGGTACAATCGCAGATTTCAATCAAACGTTTGCTCCATTCTTTAATCTGTCTCGGCTTCCAGGTATCCAGGGAGAGGTCGCCGCGTATCCGTCGACCTGGGACGGATATGTAAAAACCTTCCTTCGAGACCCTAATATCGGAACGAATATCCAGGACACATCCCGGTTGCTGACATCTGAGGTGATTCAGGAAAAGGCGGAAGAGTTGGCAGAGTTTATAGTGAGTAACAAGCAAGGGGGGGCAGGGTTCAATTTCAGTAAGTGTTCGGATGTTCCAGAACCTGTGATCCATGGTACTCATTCCTCATCCCTTGTCCAGTTGGTAAAGTCAACAACGATGAGCGCGACAATACTGCCGTGCATGACGTCTGGAAACACAGCCACGGTCTTCTGAGCGTGTCTGTGGATTGGGCAGATACCGCCACAGACAGCGAAAAACAGGAAAAGCGGCATCAAACTGTACAGTTGAGCAAACGACTTACAGGAATAGTCGGCTCAGAGGGAGGTACATATGTGAATGAAGCCAATCCGTGAGTATACAACGTACATAAACGGTATTAAGGCAAGTGTCTCACAGAAGCTCTAGATACGAACCCGACTGGCAAAATGTCTTTTGGGGAAAAAAGTACGACCGGCTGCTGGCGATCAAGCAACGAGTGGATCCCACACAGTTGTTTGTGTGCAATCGTTGTGTCGGCACCGACGTCGTGATCCAGCCATAAGGCCTGCGCCGGCTCTGTACTGAATACAACCCAAAAGGTCGCCGGTCATGGCATAATGCGGGTAGGGTGGTCTGGCAATTTAGAGCTGCGAGTCGTACCAATGGAAAAAAACTAGGACCTTTGGATGCGTCTTATCATCCATAAAGGATATAGCTGAATCTATCACTCCATAACTGATAACGAATCACTCCTTATCCGGGGTACACCCTATCTTACTCTGAGTATAGCGCAATAGCGATTATAGACCCACTTGTGTCTGCCTTACATGGACCCAAAGAGACGGGACAATCCACTTACCATGATGATCACGCCAAGGGCCTTGGCTGGTGGACCCAATTAATCAATAATCCCATTGACCATGGTCGAGTCTACCGCATGCAGACATTGCACTGCGTTATAGCCCGCCATAAATGAGAAGGATGAGACGAGCCCAACTTTGCGTAGCGGAAGGTCGGAGGAAGAGTAAAAGGTGACAACTGGCGTGCATCCACCTATAGAATGGCGTCGGGATGTATAGATGTTATAACCTCCTGCGACCACAAGACTTTCATCAACAGCATCGCTGGAGTATGTGATCCACTATAATCCCTGGTTTGGGTGTTCAATATAACACAAATGTCAGAGGTATATTGCAAAGACGATGTTTCCTACATACACATCGGAAATGAAGTCTTACATGGCGGTTCCCGATTATATCTCTTCTCCCAGTAATGCAGCACTATGACAAAAGACCTCCTACGGACAATTACGTTCAAGAATTCTTCTATAATTTCAAGGAAATCAATAGCAAAAATGCCTTACGGTTAGGTACGTGCACGAAGCGCGGGTAGTGAGGTACAGTACGGTACATTATAGCGTAGTACAGAACTCAACAAATAGCGACGTATAGTTAGACCTTATCGGGTGCCAAGTATCCATAGACCATACCAGAAACATATGGACCGGATGATACTGCAAGGCCTATCCGAGATAGCAATCTGGTTAGCATCTACCAATGCTGCAAGCTGCTTTCGTTCACCCCGGGGCCCTGAATTGAATTGGACTGCGAAAGGTTTGATGTTTAGATTTGTTCACACATCTAGATAGAAAGAGTAATAATGTTAGCAGGGGGCGCAGTGTGAGAAGAAAGTCAGACAAACTAAATATAAGAAATGCGTCCCTAATCAAGGCCCAATGATGACACCTGCTTGGCCGACTATTCCCCATTGGCGTCATCATAAGCGTCGTAGCCCAGAAGCTCCGGCGTAGATACCGTAAAATAGCAGCTTTAGGGAGCCCATAGTTGTTTCCAGGGCGGTTGTCACAAGAAGCCTTCACAGGGGACCAACTGTTCATAGCGTATAATGTATTTAACAGCCATATCTTAAGTTGCCCGAATGAAGTGTATATCACGCGTGGGCATATTCAGCAGGGCCCCCGGAAGCTCCACATTTTCCTTGATTCTCTACCCCCTCAGCTGTCCTGTTCTAGGGTGCTTCACAGGCAACTTGTGACATCCTGGTTGCGTACTTCAATTGGCATTAGCAAGCTTTCTAGACTAACTTGGGACCGTTATAGACGCGGGAGCTGGGCAATGTGTTCGGAGGTTGAGTCAATGCCTTTTCAAACCAAACAGTCTCGGCCGGTGTCTCCCCGTGTAATATCCGGCCAGCGAGTCTCCATGCGAATGTCTTACAGTCTCAGGAGCGAGTACCCATATCACATGTGAGGCTTAATGCACCGTGGCGGTTATGTGAGCCTTACAAACGCGCGTAGTCACAGCTATGTGGATCTAGATATTCTGTTAAGTTACCAGCCTGTTATTGACACATACCAGGATGTGCACAATGACCATTAACATTCCCCATTGGCCAGTTAATCATGCTGACATTCATAAGATAAATCAAGGAAGATTCATAGAGTCAGAGCGCATAGACCTGCAGTTCATTACCGCTTTGAGGGATAATACGCGATTCAGCTTGGCAATGAATGGACGGTACCTCGTATTCAGTAATTTTGCCATTATACCTCTCAGAAAGAGTGGAGATGATGCTCGTATGTATGTGGCATTATTCTCCACCCTCGTACTTCTGCTAGAGCCCTTTCAGCCTAGAACACTTTGCAGGGTGGAACAAGCCGCCTTGGCGGTGGCACTGAGGCCCCAATCACGTTCGTGAAATCCATCAATTCTGTCCAGACTTTCTTCAGCACATACAGAGGTGGCTCGCTAACCGATTACGTTATAGATGAATCAAGTATAGGACCGGAGGAATGGAATCCTGGAAATGCTGAGAACGGGTTTTGATTCGTCCCACTCTCTTGTATTCTAATAGTCGATTTGAATTTTATTCTCTTTGCCTTTTCCTCCTTGCTTCTGTAATCTGATCTTCACTGATAGCCAATGAAATTAGATGACCTAGGCCATGCTAAATGTCAATTATATACCATGTACCATTGGCGGCTCTTGTGTTCCCAAGTTCTTTAATTTTAGAGATGCCTTCGTTAGTAAGTATATTGTTAATTCGTATATCACCTTGAAGTTTTTTATACGCAAAATTCAATATGAAGAATCGGCGTGAGGTGAGAATTCTCTCGACAGCTGTGAAATCGTTTCCCAAGTAGACTTCCATGAAGCTCATTATAATAAGGCGTATGGAATTGCCTACCCTGCTACACAATTTTCCTTATAACGAGGGTTTACGGTGCATGCTAAATGACCAGCTGATTCCGAGATCGACCCAAGTGGGTCTAACCGGTGATCGAGACAGTAACCACAGCCAATAGATCATAGTCATTTGAGGAGAAAATCGGAAAATATAGATCTCTTCCAGGTGCTGTTCCGGATACCTGATGTTACTAGTGCTTATATGACTCCACAATTGCACTGTCAACTGTTGTTGATAGAATGCTGAAACCGAGCTTCTTCCAAGCAAGTACACTAAAACCCCTCTATAGGCAATCCCCCGATATAAGTAATTTGAATGGCTGAATTGGTTGCCTAAAACCGGGTTTTAATGTATCCTGGTTATTGAGCTAAGTTCATGAACACGGAAATTTTTGAAAGTCCGGAAGCACGCTAATGCAACGTGGTTGATTATACTCCCAATATCTAGTGCTTAACCGATAATTAATTTTCTTGGCTGACTGACGATGGCGAAATAGCAAACCTGTGAAAGTAACCTAAGCATCAACGCCAAGGCGAGGGGCAAGTCCAGCTCACTCATCATATTTTGCGATGTTAAAATACTCGCGACGTGAAAAAAGTACATACATGAAGCCTCCACCTAGAGCTCCCTTAGTTTACTCGGGTAACTCCAATGCAAGAAACCCCCAACTTGAGCTTGAGCCTAATGTCTCAGGGTTCCTTTCCCCCGAGACCTTCGTGCGAGATCCTTCCTGCTCTACTCCCCACCTGGCTGCAGCAAGACCCGTAGGCAATTCTCATCACCGGCCTCCGCGGCATAATGCAACGGTAGCCAGCCTGCCGCGTCAACGGCGCTCGGATCTGCGCCATGCCGTAGTAGCTCGCGCACAATAATATGATGGCTGCTTCGGACCGCCGTATGAAGCACAGTGGAGCCCTCTCCGTCAATGGCGTTAGGATCGGCACCGCCGTCAAGGAGAAGGCGCACAGCTGTGAGATGTCCGCGGCTAACGGAAATATGGAGGGGCGTTGTCCAGGTTCTAGATCCGACCCCACTAGCGCGGACCGTCTCAGTGTTTTGATAGTAGCCCATCGGCCGGGTGGGCATGTTGGCAGCGCATATTCCGGTGGATCTGGGGTCGCTCTGGGATACTAGTTGTGGTTTGGCACTAGCATGGCAATTACCACAAAAGCTAGAAGGAGCATTGACTACAAGGCAGCGTTAGGCAAGGATGTTGAAAAGGAGCATTGTGGTAGAGGCACTTACATTTGTTCGGGCTTGTTTGGAATATGGTGTCCACAGTGAAAGGGGAGAGCTCCAGTTGCTGCTGTTGGTCCAGCGGTGCCGTAGAAGACGCCAGATCCATGCGGCTGTATTCGTTAACATGCGGCGAGAATACCACATCGGGAAAGAAATTTTCTGCTGACAGGTGATCAATGTTGTAATCCAAGGCTGGGCCAAGAAAGGCTGAGAATGGTGGGCATTCTTGGCTATTGCTTCCTGAACTTCTGGTGCACCGTGCCTGTCCTGGTTGGCTATTTTGTTCAGGTAGCGTTTTGTCGCTGTTCGCTTGCCGTGGCCTCCTTAACTTTGCATTTTCACCTATGCCAAGTTAGCTGGATGGATGCATAGTAGGTATAGGGTACGCCATACGATGCTTCCGCTGTGCTAGTCTATTCCTTTCCCTCCGCCGTTCGAGTGCGAGTCTGTCTTCCATAATGGATATGCTATGTGTGGACGATCCCATTTTCTGTCCACTATTGACCATTTGATGCTTGACTCTTGGGAAATAATAGATGCAAAATGGGAGCTTGAACCTTCATATATGGCCAAGCTATTGGCAGCGTGGCGACTAGATCCTTGATCTACCGGCCCGGAAATGGGATCATGGGTGGTAAGGATTGGCAATTGCTCAAACAATCACAATATGCTGCATTAGTGACGCGAGGAATCCTACCTACCTGACTTGGCAGGGCCTCTCTCGGCCATGACTACCTAGACATATACCCACCACTTAGCTTTCATCTAGCATTCAATTGCTGCAGGTGGCCGAGAAAAGAGGAGAGTTTGGGGAACCCACAGCACAGCTATGCCACACTTAGGATAGGCTAATTTAAGAACACTGAAACCTACATTATAAAAACAACTTGTGCTAAGATAATCGATCTTAAAACGTGGGGAGCCTAGGATTTCTCAAAATGGTATTTTCTAGAATCTGCCATGGTATTACCGCTGCGTCCTAAGAGGCCTACGCAATACGGCCAACCTCAAAAAACTCGTGCTGCAGGGTCTCTACAAAGCATGATAGTTAGCAAATGGCGTTATGTGATGGACATGGATGGTGTCTGGAGAATGCTTCATTGGTTTCAAAATATGTAAAGGTGCGCTAGGACCAACCAGGTTTCCTAGACCATACTCCGTATTGAGATTTCCGGAGGCTAATTTATTTGAGCTCGGAGAAGGATTAGGTAGGCGCGTTGACGCAAAGCCAACTATAAACTAGGCCTTGTTATATATAGTCTGCATGAAAACTACCTGGAACCACCAGTTTCTGTTACCTAACGTTAATAATTCTAATTGGCCAAGTGACTACCGATCCCAGCTCCAAATGTATAAACTGTAACCATGCCAATTAATGTTTGTGAGGGGAATTAAGGCAGATATTAATGAACTGAAGGATTCCGAAGGAATCTAAGCCTGGGCAGCTTGAAAGCTTCAAACTTCCGAAAGCCGCCGAGACCAAACGCCTTCTGATGCTTGATTTTTGTCAATTATCCTTTTTTTCACAAAAATTCTATTCTGACGGGTGTGTCGGACCTGTTTGCCGAGCAAGAACCATCAAGCCACCTGCGAACGCCTGTAGGGACCCTGTGCGACATGGACAAGGAATTAAGATTCGAAAAATAAGCTTAGATAAGGGAACATACCATGTAATTTGCAGTAGTGCCGCTCTATTTCTCGAAAAGAGTACCATTAGAGCTTTTCCAATCTATCAATCGCAGCACTCATCCCACAATAGTGGGATCGTGATTTAGATAAGATCCTTAGGAAATAGCTGAAATGCCATGCCTAATTAGTAGTGTAAAATATATATGGCAAGTCATGCGAACACTGGGTGTGATTCTCACTACCACTTATGCTATAGAAGGCTATGTTTTAAACAAGCTCTGTCTTGTCGTAAACGGCTCCTCTACATTTGGTAATTAGAGCATTGATTTGCAATTTTGTGTCCAAACTACGCATGGTCCGGTCCCACTAATACTGGCCCTTTGATTCTGGACCTTGTAGCAGAGCCGCGTAGGGTGTAATAGCTGGGCTTCGCGGCAGCGGTACTTGTCATGGTTTCCTGTCCTTCCATGTGCTGTTTACTTTTCCTCCTTTCCTTAATATTAGGCAATATCTGAGTCGCAGAACCTTTCTAGTAGCTGGCCCTATTATCACCGTCCTCAAGGCATGAGCTCTTGTGTTAGGCCTCTGCCCTTCCATGCATTCCTCTCTGGCCCCATCAAGATTTACCTGTTACTTGGCGTCGTGATCCTTCCACGCGTCGGTGAGGTATATGAGCTAATACTCTCTTGGCAAAGGGTGTCTTCGAAAATCGCTCGCCTGCGATGTAGCCTTGGCGTAAAATCCTGCACAGCAAATGTATTTCGTACGGTGAGGCAGGCTTCATTAATCCAATCGGATGCCTGACGAGTTTCAAGCACGCTGTAATAGCAACATGGTCCGTATAGGCCACTTGTTAACGAATCATATAGTGGGGTTTGTATAGCTGAAAGTCGAACAGCACGCCGCGTCTTCACCGTCTGCAGCTGCCGTGGTTAGTTCTTTATCAGCCGAAGTTCTAGAGTAGTCATCCGCGTGACCGATAGCAAACTGTAAGGGAATGATTCGGATCGGCAGTGGGGCCGTGATACCACGGGATACTAAGTAGTGTGGGTGCGTTTTAGAGGAAATATATTGTTCATTCCGTTGCCTCGCGGGGATTGGAAGTCATTGCAAAAACAGGTTGGTTGGCTGGTTGAATGACCTCGCTATCGTGTTCTGAGTTGCCTTTCCAAGCGTGTCTAGCACTTCCTCCACTGCTATACCTTCGAGTTTCTATAGTCGCCACAAGTTGGCCGCTGTAAGGTAGCTTGGTGTTCTCTCCCAAAAGTGAGTCGGATGCTGGCATACTTGCATGGCTGGATTGCTAGCGTCGTCTAAGCGCTTCGTACAGGTTCGAACGGTGCTTGTTCTCTAGGTGATATACATTGTCGTAACTTCGTCCTGGGTGGCTGCCGGCATGAGAAACCCGCCTGTCTAGGAATGCTGAAACAAGGTAAACGGTGAAGATACTTCTGGATAATTGGTGAGGAATGGTTGCTTGTAGTCTTAATTCTTGAATGCTTCCGTGTCTGCCACTTCGTTCCTCCGTAAAGAATCCTTTGATGTCGTCCTGGTAGTTCATATTCCATTTTATTCTTCTCTCTCTTACATTGGTGTTGCCTGACTGTTTCAATGTTCTCTTGAGTGTTGTATGAGCACCACGGCGGTTTCGTCCTGGGACCTCACCTAAAGATGATCCTTCTAGCCCTAAAACAAGCGCCTTCGAGCCAGATACCGAATTGATAGCTAGGGGGACGCACATCCTACCGTATATAGACATGTTCAATGTCATCAAGCCAGTCCAAAGAATGTTTTTGTTTAATGGTAGGAGGAGCTGCAGCTGCTTTCTCGATAAGTCAACCTATTGGATATGTAGTTCCCTCACTGACCAGTCATGTCGAAGCCTAAATATACTGAACCATCACGGTACACGCAGCGAGATTTGCTTCAACTGCCCTAATGCGGTCAAGCTTCCATAGGGCCCAGTGAGGAAGAGGAAAAGGAAATGGAAAACTAATGTCTATCAACGGGATGTGGACTCAACATTACTATTGTACATGTCTCCCTCAGGGTCACATTGCAAGCCCCAGGCATCAAGAAGTCCTACAACGAGGCAAGACCGTGCCGAAAGACGCAGGCGGAAGGTGTGACTCGGGAGTTGGTGTGGTCATTGAGACCGGCTACGGCACAATTGTGGTAGCTGCGGAAGGGCCGTGGATAAGGCTACGGGTCGGAACGGTTATTGCGGGCCGAGAAAAACAAGACCCACTCTGCATGTGCCAAGGACCGGTAACATTCGTTACATAAATACGATGACACTCGCTGCGTGTTTGAGTTCAGGATTTGGTGCATGTGGATCTGTTGCATGTTAGCGCGATGACTGCAGACAGTGGATCTCGGTGACAGGGTCTTGCCTTGGCTAGACTCGGGGGACTGCTGAAGATTCCCCATGTGAAGTAAATATGAGGGCATATTTGGCGCTTCCATCTGCCCTCGGTTTGAGGAAGCGTGATTCAACAAGTCTAAATCTATCAGCCGTGATTTACGAGAAGAACTGAGGCACACGGCCTTTGCTTTGCCAACCCAGACTCCCATTATCGTATCTTTTATTACCTAATAAAATTCGCTACAATGGCCACTGATCCGAAAATCGACGAGTTGCACCGAGAACTCCTGGAAGAGGGGCTCAAGATGCGCCGGGCCGTCCTCGGTCATGAGTATGTCGACCGAGCGTGGAACAATGCAACGCCGTTCACGCGGCCAGGGCAACAGCTCATCACCGAGTACGCATGGGGCAATGTCTGGCAACGCCCCGGCCTGGATAGGAAACAGCGCAGTCTCTTAAGTAAGTGTTTCTCTCTACCATGGGTGATTAAATGTAGCACGTATTGACCTGCTTGTAGCAATTGGTATAATTATCGCACAGAAAGCGTGGCTGGAGCTGGCACTACACACTCGCGGCGCGATCAACAACGGTGTCTCGGAACTGGAGATTAGAGAGGCGGTGTTGCATTCAACAGTGTACTGTGGCACACCTGCCGGTGTTGAAGCGATGATGGTAACAGAAAGGACGATTAATGAAATGATTGAAAAGGGTGAATATAAGCGACCTGAGGAGACTGGGCTTTGAAATATATCATTAGATATTGAGGTTGGGTCCGTCCTCCGCGGAGTCTACCTTGTATGATTGCCATTAAATAGACAGCTTTCACAATATCGTCATATCTTCGAAGCTTCCTGTAGCATTTTCCCTTAAACTCTTATTATGTGTCTCCGATGGTCATATGGGCGCTCAGTTGAATCACAGTCGGAACGTAAGGCAGATCCTCTTCGCCTGCCGTGGTCAGGATCTGGCTCATGAACTTCGCCATGCAGAGCAGGTTAACCTCTGAGCATTCGAACACTCGAGCGCTAATTAAGACCAACCAATATAATGAAAAGAAGAAAGCGGCAAAGGGAATAATGTATGTCAGGAGAACGGGACGATAAGAGTACGAAGGACTGGAATGTTATAAAACTACTAGATGCACCGATTGCGAGCCCGTCGAAAGCAACATCAAGTTCTTCAAATAATAAAAGTTGTATTCAAATTCATATCTATCATGCGCCAACATTTTAAATCACAAATTGTAAAACTTCATTAACATTTTGGTTCAGACTCCAACTTCCAGAACAGTAACCTCGGAAACCTCAACATTTGGCCAAGCCTTGATCTCCGTCTGGCGCTCCACAACGGTATTTCCACTTACTGCCGCAGATAGCGCAGCTCGTGCCACCGCATCAGTGTCTGACAGAGTAACTGAGTTAACACCGGGTCTTGCTCCAGCTGCAGTGACCCAGTGGACACCTTCAGTGGGGACACCGACGGCAAACCGCCTTGCATGTGCACGACCTTCTGCGTCGATGAGACGGTACGGGCTGAGCGTGATATCGAGACCTCCAGTTTCGTAGCCGTCGACGGTGTGAGGGCGGCACTGGCCCGTCTTCAGCAGATGAGAGAGAAGCTCGTCGGCAGTATGTCTAAGGCTTGGTTCCGGCAGACGTGCTTCAATGAGGGTAGTAACACGGACCTTCAGCCCGGGCACTTCGGGAGAGTACACAGTCCAGGCTCCGTCCTCAGCACGGGCTTGTGGCCGTGGGCCAAGAACATCCAGAATGCCGGCCTCGATCAGGGCGATCATTTGCTCAATGCGCTGACGAGGGGGTCCGATGGACAGAAAGGCGTTCAGTGGTGTGTACCAACGGTCCAGGTGGTCCCGGTGTGAGAGACCTGACAATCCGGCGTGGTCCACAATGAGTCGCAGCTCGTTGCGCAGATCGCGCATCACATCCAGTGCTGCCTTCAGAGGTCCGTTGACGTTTCCGAGAGAGGCCTCTTTGGCATCCTCCCGTAGGTACTCCAACATCCAGTCCCGCCAGGCACCGGCTGTAAAGGTGCGTTCGCCATATGGTCGGGAAATGCGGTCCCAGGACCAGCGGTTATCCTCAGTAATGCCGAAGTCAGTGAGGACATTAGCTTCCTCAGGGCTCTTGTGTGCAGTGGCAAGGAAACGATTCCTGAATTCACCGAGCTCGAATCCATGTTGTCTCAACAAGGCCTCGTAATAGACCGTTTCTACCTCCTTTGAGACAAGCGGCCAAATTTCCTTCAGGAAGCTTGGCGCGTTACCGGAGTCTGCGCGCTGGCGGAAACCATCGATCACTTCCTCAGTGAAGATGAGTGGCATGTGACGACCGTATGCGCCCTTGGCATTGTCACCGCGTGCTTGATACGGAATGCCGCGACGTGAGCCAGCGTACATACGAGGCTCCCTTCCTGAGGGATGGTAGCGCAATCCGTTAGGTGTACGAGTAAACCGACCGCCACGGCCTGTAGTCAGCAAGGCCATGTAGTCGAAGAAATTAAGACCGAGACCGCGCAGAAAGATTGGCTCGCCAGGCTTGAGGGAGGATAGGTCAACATCTGCCGGATTGGAGGGTGTGATATGACACAGGCCATTCTGATTGGCATATGCAGTGAGCTGCTGTAGCTGTGCATCGGCGACTAGCGGTAGATGGCCCTGAGCGAGAACCACAGCAGACAAACCAGACAAAGTGCGGCCGGTAGACAGGGTAAGCGTCTGGCGGCCATCCGGCGTGTCGTCGAGGCTAACTGCGCGGGCAGCGTGGACCTCAACCTCAACCTCAGGTGGGGCGTTGCGAACTACCTCGCGGAAGACCCATTCCAAATAATGGCCGTACTGTGCGCGAGTTGGGTATTCATCCGGACCCAGCCCGAGCTTAGCATCGGTTGCCCATTCATACAGACTTGGTCCCGAGCGTATCGGTCCCGAACAAACCACGCTCTTGTCAGTGTACAAGGTAACTTGGGAAGTCACCGTGTTCATTAGTAGCTCCGACGACTGGGCGGTGCGCCAAACCCGGCCGGCTCCTGGGGGCGAAGGGTCGACGACGTGAACCGTTAGTCGCGCACCAGGCGCGAGGAATTCTGCAGCAGAAGCGCAGAGACGTTCCAGCGCGCTGGTTCCGCGCGGTCCCATGCCGATAATAGCGACGTGGGCATGAGCGGTACCGGAGGGCGTGGCTGGAATGGAGTACTTCATGGTGAAAAGACCTTTTGGAATTTGATATGAACTTTTGTGTTGGAATAATATAAAAGAGGACCGCTCTGAAAACGGAATCGTGCTGGTGAAAACTGTCAAGGGTATCTATGAACTTGAATTGCTTTTGTGATTTGATGATTTTAGAAGTTGGTTCAAACATCAAACTCTTGATTTCGACCGTTTATATATACAATCCAGCATTGTAACAATTCCCTGGCATCTCGATGTGCCATTGAGTCTGGACCACGACGATACCATACTCCCTGTCACAGTTCAGCTATAGTGGTTGACACATTCTTCAAAACATCACCGTCATGCACGATTCCGGTTTTGTGATTTGACATTATGATGCTCAACGCGTCACCTAAGGATCAGCTTGAAGTATTTCGAAAAGGAGGAACTGTGACAGTGCAGTGGTCATAATTGACATGCATTGTCAAAATTTACATACCAAATCGCAATATTAGTGGGTCTACGGCACGGAAAAAACACAAATGCCTACAGTTGGAAGCTGAATTAGGGTTCCCAGTTCAGTCCACCACAGCGGGAATGGCTGCCGGAGGAAGCGGCCACGCTATGACAATGCATCGAGACTATGACACTGCATAGTGTGACAGTACTCAGTACGTGAAACATTTTCAGTGCAGATCCTACGCAGTTTATGATCTTCAGCGCCTTTGAACAGAACGGATGGGAGCCTTCGAGATCTAGAATGTCTGCAGCTGTATGCAGATACCCTTGGCAGACACGAGCCAAGTCATCCTTGAAAAACCGTTATGCATAACATCGGTTCATTAATTACGCCAGTGACCCACTCTTGCTGCTGGGATTATTTTTCGTATGGCGCAGAATAAGACCTAATCTGTTCTAGTCTCTCGTAAAACCTCCCAACTCAGGGTGCAGCTTGCACATCTGCATCTCAGCCCTAGCAAGGGCTATTGCCACTAGTAATTTATATTTTCTTCACGGAATTAAAAGCCTGCTTCCTGCATTAGCCTTGCCCTTCGCTCTTTTTTTGCTTTTTTTTTTTCGGATTTCCTCGCTTCTTGTTTTCTTCACTGTCTTCAATTTTCTGATCAAGCGGAGACCCTGGTTGGCCACCCTGCATTGAATACTCGGTGGATACAGAAAGGAAATATCCTGCCAATGATAATACTAAGGTTATATCTATTAGGTGTTTGTTAGTACCTGCCTCAAATGGTAGCTAGTTGCGACCGCGCAATATGTTGGTGATTGCGTCAGAATGGGATATCCATCGAGAATATATGACCAATCCCCAGTAGGGTCCATTTGTCCGACCTGTAAGAAAGCAGATCCTGAGAATACTAGACTCCGGGATAATCAAAAGGTTGTACGGATAATTAGAGTCGGCTTCTATGCTGTTTTTTTATGTTCGCTAGACGGTACGGCTAGTAGTAGGAGTCGGTTGCATTTGACATAAATGTCATTACTGTCAACTAGATTCTCTTTATCAAGTCTACTAGTATTTTAAAAAATATATATGTTCACATTTTCGGATTTGCCTGGTTGCGTTCGGCTTATTATACTCTAAAATTCAATTGCAATGCTGGATACTCAACATATATATCATCATAAGGATTACATAGCGAAGTCAGTCAGCGTGTGATGGGTATTTGATAGTTTACTTAATACCTCTGGAAGTAAGTCTTCTTCGGTCGTCTCTAACTTCTTTCTTTTATCCTGCCTCCGCGGACACCAAGCGGTCTGCTGTGATTGTTCCCTTTTCAGCCTGAGTATCAACGGACATTTCCCATGCGATCAGTATGAAATTTAGAAACCCGTAGATTAAACACTCCACGAAGGGATTGCTCAGAGATAGACTCTCTATCCCGCCAGGTTTTGATATCCTGTCACCCACCCGCGTTTAATGCGGGCACAGAGACTATTACAGTAACCAGCGAAGCAAGGGCCTTAATAATCTAGGTACTGTGGCTTTGTCGGATAACAACCATTGTTATAGTCAATTTGACTTATTGCCGCTACCTATCCACAGAGTGGCTTCGATGCCTCAGTAAGAGCTGCGATGTGGCTTTTGGGCTGTGTCTATAAACCTTCAACTTCAATGCTTGGACTGTTTCGGCCTGTGCAGGACCTTTTAGCCAGATCAATCGGCTATTGCGGAGATTCAGGACGAAAATCGTGCCGAGGCCATTTTGCATATGAATCATGATCGACCAAGGTGTCCGAAAGCAGTACTAGTCTCGCAATGTCCGCAATACCCGATACCTCCGCGGTGTCAGCGTTGGGCCTCGAATGCGAAGGTACTTTTTTATAGGGGCCATAAGCTTGGCCAAAACAATATAGTATGATGTCTTTTGCCGTATATCTCACTCGACTCACTCTGGCCACCGCCTTGGTCTCTATTTGGCTTTTACGTCACTTTTCTGTTTAACCGGTACACGAGACAGAGCCAGTATCTGACGGCGTATATACTTCCGGGTGCGTGGCTTACATTGCCGCCAGCACCACTACGCAAAATGAGTCTCCCAATATGGAGTGAGAGCAGTGATAGGGGCTCTCAAACAGATAACACTGTTGAAATTAGTGACATCGAGGCGCAGGTATACTCGAAGATCAATCCCGATTGCCGGTACCCATACCAGACTAACCGATGACCCGACCTAGACAAATATCTCTGAAAAGAGGTCAGAGCCAAGTTTACCTTTGTCGATGGGAGAAGGGAAAGCTTTCCCTCCACTATTACCAGATGAAGATGATTATATCGTCACATTCGACGGCCCGGACGACCCGGAACATCCCTTTAACTGGAGCTTCCCGGTGAAGTACGTAGATTTCCCAGATTATTTGATATCTGGGCTAACCGGAACCTTCATTTGTTCAGGCTCTATACCTCAGTCATGGTGTGCTTTGGCACATTTATCTCATCATTCGCTAGCGCTGTGTTCGCCCCAGGAACCGCTGGGGTAGCAAAGGCGTTTGGAGTGAGTACCGAGGTGGGGATCCTTGGTACGACTCTATTTGTCCTCGGGTTTGCATCTGGCCCATTGATTTGGGCGCCTTCTTCTGAGCTGATAGGTAGGCGATTACCTCTGACCGTGGGTATGTTCGGTGTTGCGGTGTTCAGCATTGCATCGGCTGTCGCGAAAGATATCCAAACTGTCATCATCTGTCGCTTCTTTGCTGGACTATTTGGCGCCAGTCAACTCTCGGTAGTTCCAGCCGTGCTATCAGACCTCTTCAACAATATCCATCGTGGACCCGCTATCACTGTTTACTCGCTCGCTGTGTTTGTAGGCCCTTTCAGCGGCCCGTTTATTGGCGGATTCATCTCCTCTAGCTTCCTCGGCTGGCGATGGACACTCTATATTCCAGCCTTCATGGGTTTCGCATGTTGCAGTGTATTTATACTCTTCCTGAAAGAAACCTATGCTCCATGCCTCCTCATCTCAAAGGCAGAAGCTCTCCGTCAACAGACCTCCAACTGGGGGATCCATGCTAAGCAAGAAGTGGTTAAAGTTGACTTTCAGGAGTTGCTTGAAAAGTATTTTACGCGGCCATTGCGAATGTTGATCACCGAGCCGATTATCCTGGTTGTCTCCCTCTACATGTCCTTCATCTACGGACTCGTGTACGCCCTGCTGGTAGCCTATCCCTACGTATTCGAGTCAGTCTATGGAATGAATCCCGGACTCAGCGGCCTCACCTTTTTTGGGCTTATCATTGGCCAAGTGTTAGCATGCGGATTTGTTCTGTCTCAGCAGTCCATCTACGTGAAAAAGTTGATAGCGAACAAAAACGTACCTGTCCCTGAGTGGCGGTTGCCGCCTGCTATTGTCGGTGCCCCGATTTTCACCGTGGGAGTATTTTGGTGAGCAGACCGGCAGAATATTTTGAACCGACACAATACTAACACCAGGATTAGGTTCAGCTGGACTGGCTTTACTTCGACAATTCACTGGCTTGCTCCCACTGCTTCGGGTGTTCTGATCGGGTTTGGCATCTTGTGTATCTTCCTTCCCTGTTTCAACTACCTGGTTGATTCATACCTGCCGCTGTAAGTTACAAGCTGGTATATGGTGAGATCTAAAAGCGCTGACAAAGTTGGTAGCGCCGCATCTACTGTTGCTGCGAACATTATTCTCCGATCTAGCGTCGCCGCCGGCTTTCCACTGTTTGCCAAGCAGATGTTCAAGAATCTCGGGGTGCAGTGGGCGGGCACTCTGATAGGATGTTTGGCGGCCATTATGATCCCGATCCCGGTGGTATTTAAGAAATATGGGCCACGGTTAAGGGGGAAGTCGAAACTCATGCCATAACGGTGTATGTACATATGTTTTTCCCATCAGAATAGAGATTCCCATAGACATCACATGCTATAATCACTGAGATCTTGGTCACGTGGTAGGGTTATAAGACGCTCTCATAAGAATAAGAATAGCCGTTCCCGCCCGCGGTTTCTGCCGTTTTCCGTCCCCCCGCCATCGCTTTTTAACCCTGTCTGCGTATCGCCTCACTACTTTCTCCCCATGCAGACTGCTATGGCTAGCAATCCTGGCCCTTCAAAGCGCAAGCGATCGCGATTTGCCTGTGAGCCTTGTCGCGAACGGAAAAGGAAATGCAATGGAGAATCCCCCTGTTCAACCTGCAGCAGTTGGGGCTATGATTGTTACTACCAAAATGAGCGTCGAATGAAACCAAAGTCCACTGGGATAATGGTAGATCCTCCTGCCATCCCTGGGCCAAGTCCTGAGCATGCGGGCTCTTACACTGAGTCATTGGAAGCGAACTCGGGTGCGGCGTTTGTCAGAAAGATTGGTCTCAAGATGGACCCGGCAAATGCGCCCAAATTGAATCTCTTCGGCTGGAACGTGGGTAGACGTAACCCCCCTTCCGGTCTAGCTACTGGCACGGTTTTAGCCGTACCTATCGTCGATATTCTCTCGCTGAACCATATGAAGACCCTGGCCAATGTCTACTTTGCTAAGGTAGATCCATGCTATGGTTTCATTGATTCTGCGATGTTCTTTCGGCGTTTGGAGGTCCGTTGGCAGTCATCTGCAGAGGGCGATTCATATGACGGCGTGCTCGCAGGAGTTGCTGCTCTTGGGGCGCTCTTCTCCGAGATTACTATCAACATTACTGAAGCCCACCTAGTAGAATTGACGCGCTCCATCACAGACACACACATTGGGTCTGCAGCCCCATCAGTAGAAGTGGTGACCGCGTGGGCACTCCGGGTGATTTATATGCGCATGACGGCACCGCCATACCCAACTTGGATTGCAAGTTCCACGTTGATGCATCTAATCGAAGCCTCCAAGCTTCACCAAAGCTTCTCATGCGACTTATATGATCTCGACACTCGGCAACGGTTGATTGGAGTCGCCCAACATTTGAATCTCTGGATCTCGTACGACTTGGGCCTCTCCAGGGTTTCGTTCCCCCACGAGGCGGTAGCACTGCCCTCGCCAAGACCTGGAGATTTCACAGTAGAACTTCTCGGTCTCTTGCCGCTTTCCACCAGCCTGGGGCCTGAGAATCGACGACAAGACGAAGAGATCGAGGAATTCCTGCTGCAGACGTTAAGCCGTAACCACACTCAACCACCATCTATTCTCGCTCAATGTAATCTGGTCCTCTGTCTTCTCCGGCGCTTACATATGAGAAACCTCATGACCTCCCCCGCTACAATGGAGCGAGTTGTGGAGCAACTGAAGCGAAGCCTCGGTGCTGCGCGTCGTATGGCTTCGGATTGTTCCCCGTGGCAACATGTGGCCAATGTGCCATTTCAAATGATTAGTATTCTTCTTGAGATGGATACGAGTGCAGCATTGGAGCTTCTGCCGGAAGCGATGCAGACTCTGAAACTTGTTTCTGCCACCTACGACACCGAAAGTATGAGAGAGGCGTATGGGACCGCGCGTCTACTCATTCTTCTCTACCAGCGCCGCCGGCGTTCGGACACTAGGTTGCTCAGCGGGCTGTTAGAAGATCATCACGAACCATCCACCACTGAGTCACCGATTCAGCCGATGATTCCCACGTCTGACGAAGTATCATGGTTGGAGGGATTGGTCGCAGACGTACCGAGCTTGCACGGCCTCGACTTCGGTCAGTTTCTACAGCTCTCTCCGAACACGCCAGGAATGTGGGGTCGATAGAACTACGGTACTATTTTCCCCCTTGACATACTTGGTTCTTCGCGATCTTTATAGCTGGTGACAACGCCATCCGCGCTATCCTTGTCCTCATGCAAGTGTCACCTACCTAGTGAGTAACACTAGGTGTATTCAGCGAATCAAACACCTCTGCAACCTGAAAGACGTTCTATGAGAGGACACGCGACGCGACAGCCCGGATGTTATCATAAAGTCAAAGCCAAGGATACAGAAATTCCAAGCGCAGACCCGTTCCCGATATTCATCGTTCCTCGCCACTCTCTGGTCCGCTCTTGTCGTCCAGGTACAGGACCAGCTACTGTGACAGACGTGAACACATATATTGGTAATCATGAACGATCGAGCTTTCCATTCCAATTCCTCTCACATCGATACCCAGAAAAGCGACATCAACACATCTGTACAGTGAGTTGTGCTGGAAACCAACATTACGCAAAATAACCTAATTAACTTAAGTTCTATATCACACGATCAATGTGCTGCTTGAAAGTAAATCATCTACTTTCTGAGTAATTCATGTACCGATACCTACCTTGAGTATTTGGCTTCAAATCATAATAATACTCAAATTAAGACCCGTTAAAGGGCCCGTAATGACAAAATGTCCAACATGTACCCACTATTTGACTACTACCTGCAGACTACCGAATCCACTCTTATCTTCCACTTGTGGGGACCAGAAGTTCAAAAGCCAAGATCCAAGATACCTCATTATGATAAGGAAAAAACAGGCCCCACCGAAAAAACACCTATCGCGCGTTGGTCAAAGGACAGTTTGGGCGACACCACGCAGGATCGTAGGTTGCCACCATTACCTCAGGTGGTATACCAGTCACTGTCGGCCTTCTCAATGCGACATTCCTGCGACAAACAAACCGCCGCCTGATAATCAAAGATGACGGATCTCACCTTATTAACTCCGCGGTGGTTGAAGCTCAGAAGCCAGTCGTAGTTCCATCTAGTGAAACAAGACTTGGCCAAAACAAAAGGCCCCCAAAAATAACTTCGATAACGGTCACAATATGGGTCCTCAATTTATATGATGCTATAATTTCAAACACTAATTAATCAAAAGAATAGGGAGGGAAAAAAACATACAACAGGAGGGATTCGCTGGTGGTCACCCACCCAACTACTAACCTCCCGGCGTGTGGCTTAAGTACGGCTGAGCGGACGGGAAGCCCTGTTCTCCACACCCTATGGTCGTATGTACCGAATCTATGATTCCAAAGTATCTTATACCAGGTTTAAAAATAACACTAGTAAACAAGTAACATAGTATCCCGGCGTTCTCGTGGTCTGAAGCCGATCAGCTATGCAATCTAGGTTTATTTGTTTTCAAACTAATACTACTAAATGTTCACTTTGGTTGTTCATAGTCAAGCACGAGCCTCACACACAAACATCGTCCTCCGGCATCGACAACAGCTACCCGGCGGGTGAAATAACGTTTGTTATCGATCAATTCGAAGCCCCAAATCTTGAACCAAATGCCAGTCAGCTCATGTATAAACAAGACGGACCCCCAGAGAACATCGCTGGAGATTCAATCACTGGCCACCAGTATAACCTACCTGCTCCGCTGTCCAGCCAGAACAGACGCTCCGTTCAAAGGTATGTACCCAAGAAATCGGTGCAGTTTACGCCCCCTGACACATCGAAACGCTTTCACAATGCAACGACTCTAATCCGTCCAGAAGCGTTCGACAAGGACAGCACAGGCCCCATTCAAGTGTCTTATACCAACTATGTATCCCCATTCGCAACATGGATGAAGGCTGGTATGGAAGCAGTGGGCATCCCTGTGACTGAGGATTTCAGTAGCGGTCACCTTCTCGGAACGCAGTACAGTCCATCTACTATCAACCCAATCGACGAGACCCGGATGGCCAATGATAAACTCTACTATCTCGAACAGGGAGTCGAATACGCGATAGCATATGAAGGGACATGGACTAACACCCAAGAGTTGTTGGGATGGGAAAAGATTCCATATTCCCATCGCTTGAAATTGTCTCAGAGCACAATTGACGATCACCCTTTCCCAATGATTGGCCTGAGGTGGAGTATCTTCCGGCAAATGGATTCGTCGGCAATTTTAGTGACCTGATGGGTCAACAACCAGCAGACGTATATCAGTATGCGTCCCCGACTTCGCGCGGAAATGTGACCATTCGCAGCAACTCCACATCCGACCTGCCTATTGTAAGCCCCAACTGGCTGACCACAAAGACCGACATGGAGGTTGCAGTGGCGTTGTACCGGCGGATGAGAGAGATTTGGCAGAGTGAGCCACTTCAAGCGATAACTGTTGGGAACCCGTCATATCCACTGCATCAGGACCAATCGGATGAGGAAATTATCCAGTACATAAGGGAATCCTTGATGCCACTGTGGCATCCAGCCTGCACCTGTAAGATGGGTGTACGAAGTGACCCAATGGCTGTTGTCGATAGTCACGCCCGAGTGTATGGAGTTGAACGGCTTCGAGTGGTCGATGCCAGCGCTTTTCCTCTCTTGCCACCTGGACATCCTCAGAGTACAGTTTGTATGCTTGTTCCCTACACTTGTACCCATGAAGTGAACCCCCTACTAACCTTATGCTTAGATATGCTGGCTGAGAAAATCGCTCATAGTATAATAACCCATCTGGAAGAGAAATAAGTAAACCTCTCCTAATCAGATACTGCTACCAGTACATCTATGAATGTGTCATTAGCCATAGGAAGTAGCCGATCTATACCAATAAGACCAGAACAATCAAAGATAAAGATTAACTACCCTGTTCCAACTGATAGGCCTGTCCATGCATTTAATCATATCACAGGAGCTTAACCATTCCCTTACCAGTAGTGGGAAGCCCAAGCCCTTCGAGTTGGCGACTCACGGAGCGCGTCAAACCCAGAGCCATCTTAACACCATACAGTCAGTCAGAATGGATGACAGGAAACCAATTTTCTCTGTCCCAGGTCCTTAGTCTCATCGTCCCAATCAGACCATTCAATCTCATCCTGGACGTCTTCACCCAGTAACAGCCTTACGACATACTCGTGACCATTTTCATTTGCCCATTCCAACGGAGACAAGCCATCGAGATCATGAAGATAAGCTGCATTCATACCACGAAGCATTTTGACGAGCGGCGTATGCCCGTTTCCTGCAGCCCAGAACAGTGCAGTTTTGCCACCTCCGTCTCGGCAGTTGATGTCCGCGCCTTTCTCTATCAGCAACTTCGCTATATCAATATAGCCAAAGCGGGATGCGCATATCAGGGGGGTTCGGATATTTGCATCTTTAACATTCACATTCGCGCCATTTGCTAGAAGGACTTTCGTTGTCTCCAGGGAGCCATTTCCTGCGGCGACTACAAGTGGCGTCCAGCCATTTTCGTCCTGAGACTCTATGTTTGCCCCATGCTCAAGCAGTAATTGGACCCTGTTTGGGTGGCCAGCAGCGGTGGCTAGCAAAAGAGGTGTTCGGCGGTGATTATCTTCGGAGTGGATATTGCAGTTCCTCTGGGTCAGGAGTTTCATAACATCCATGTGCTCTATCTTATGATCTTGGATCCTCGACTTCGTTGTCGGTACAACATTGTTGCCAGCTGCTAATGCGAATGGAGTTCGCCCGCGTATATCTCTTCCGTCCACTTCAGCTCCCTTGTCAAGAAGCAACCGGACAACAGCCAACCGCCCGTCTCTGGCCGCCAAGGAAAGCGCAGTTTGGCCGTCTATGTTCCTCGCCTCAATATCAGCACCCTTCCGGCAAAGCAGCTCCGCAACACCTTCATGGCCCCTCTCAGCTGCCATGTGAAGTGGCGTCTGGCGAGCCCGTCTCCGATCCAAAGGTGAGCAAAGGAGTGGGCCACTGTCATCCCGCGTGTTCCACGCGTTAGCATTGGCACCGCTCTCCAACAACAATCTCACCACCTCAAGGTGACCGTACCAAGCCGCCCAGCAGAGCGGAGTTACTCTATACTCAATGCAGGTGCATTCAATATCAGCCCCATTATCAAGCAAGAACGCAATGATTGCATTATGACCCCGTGCAGCAGCACTCAATAGGGCAGTCATGCCCATGTCATTGTCCCTGGCATGGAGATCGGCACCCTTATTCACGAGAAGTTTCACGACACCCTCATGCCCTCCTTCCGCGGCCCACAACAGCGGCGTTCGTCCGAGCTCCGCATCCCTCTCCTCAATGTTTGCGCCTTGTTCGAGTAGCATTCTCACTACGGACTCTCGTCCGTACATGGCCGCTAGCAAGAGTGGTGTGAAACTTGGCTCGGGGCATTCGAACTCGGTACAAGATTTGACATAGACTAATAGTTTTACGACCGCGTCGTGGCCGTTTCGGGCTGCAAGCTGTAGGGGCGTATGGCACTCTTCATTTGTACTGTCGATATCTGGGTTGGTGGTCTCGATTAGATGTTTCAGTGCATATACGTCTCCGTACTCCGCAAGGTCGAAGATGGGATTGTAGATTTCTTCATCATCGGAGCAATGTATCGTAGTTGAAGAAGAAGTGCTTCTGGTCATACTTAGAAGTTACCAATGAGTTGTTGGACCTGCGAAGTTGGTTTAAGATAGCGGTGGGTAAACTTTATTTTCGCGTTTCACAATTGGATGGAGATGTTTGTGTGTCTGGATTTCTTTTAGAGCATCTAGGGGTGCTTAACCAGTCGAATAAATAATACCAAACTAGCTGTCTCCTGTAGGCATCTATCTGTAGCAGCCTGAGACAACATTTGAACCGACATTCCATTGATGCAACTCTATGCGACAGCCATTCTTGTGCAGAGACATACTTGCCCAATGCGGTAAGACGGTGCCGATTGATGGAGCATTCCTAGGGTTAGGCTTCGGACCTTTGCTGCCTTGTCAATACAACTTATCACAGTTCTTCGTCGTTAGGAATTAGCCTCTCATACTCTAGAATTTTCATTCTTACTATGTACTCTGTACTGTCTGCAGCATAAGTCACCCAGAAATTGGGGTCTAAATATTTATCCGTCGTTAACTAATAATTACATATAGTACATGCTTATACCGATATTAATGAGAACATCCTACAATAATCCTCACTACGAATACTAGACAGCCCTCAAGCCATCCTCGAAACCACTGATTCCCCTATGATCCTCCCCCCAAATGCCCCAAACCTCCCAGTAAAAGAGATCATCACGAACACAGCTGGACCCACCACTCCAATCTAGAACACACAGGAAAGAACGGCGAAACCTCAGAATCCATTGCAGGAATTCCAACTTCCACAATAAATCACATTCACTTCCTACCTATTGAACCATCACTGAGGTGCGGGAAGCCAGGTCAATTCAGATTTTACGCGCGTGAGGAACATAGGGCACGAATCGTGTCACGTTTCGAATATCCGGCTGAAAATTGTTTTGCCGATATGGCTATATATATCCCGCAGGAGGGCAGATGATAGGAAGATTAGGGCATAGTTTAACTTGTTTTAGTATAGTATAGTATATTAATCAATGGACACTAGCCATGGACCTAAAATATGGTTTATTTGTACTTCATGTCATGGTTTCTGGTGTGGGGTACTGTTGGAGGGGTTAGGTTGGAGGTCCTAAGTGATGATTTATTGCGTTTTCTGTGCTTAGGGAATGTCTGTTGTTGGTATTATTCCTGGCATATTGTACATTGAGTCGTTTGGTTGCTGATTTATACGTGGACTGCCACTGTGGCAAGCTGTTTGATTGTGTCATCGTTTTGGAATTTTTAGAAAATTGGTTTCTTGGAGACCTTCGAGACGATTTGAGATTCTTTGCACGAGCTTATCTCTATGAAGTATCTCATCTCCCTGGCAGTCGATTAGAGATAGATGATTTTTTTCATCTTTCTTGTCTCTTGGCTCGCTCTGTTGTATACAGTGAACTCCTCTCCAAGGAATCCAAGAGGTTCATCAGGACTACCATGGACCGATATCCACGATACTGAAAGGTTGAACCAAGAGTTCTACGTGCGATTTCGGATATATTCGCAGGAAGAATCTTTTTGAAGATGCAATGCAATTGAACAAGGATATATATAAGAATCCCCTATATACAAGGATCACCGTAAAGGCCCGAGCAAAGCTCATCGGGGAATTTTTTTTCTAAACTTCCTCATCCTCCACTACCGACATAACCCCTAGCGACGCCGGCGTCACCCGTTAAGCAACATCCGAAGATATGTCATGCATCACTTGCCCATCTGTAGAACACTGAAAACTCGCTGAAGTTCTAAAAATAAAAGAAAATGCTGTACTATACATCAAAATCATTAAAAAAAAAAAAGAAAGAAAGATCCGGCGGAGCTGTTTACAGCTTGCCCTGGCCCTTGTTGAAGCGCTCGAAAGAGGACACAGGGGGCGCGGAGTTGGGGTTGGGGTGGTGCTTCTTGAGGGCCAGCTTGACATTGTACTCGAGGTCAAGGTCGGCCTTGGGGTCGTCGGTCTTGGGCTTGAAGTCCACGACGAGGTCGTCCTTGACGGCGAAGACGGAGTCGATGTCAAGATGAGGGTCATCGCTGGGGTAGATCTGGTTGATGACGGTGGCGTAGTCGGGGTGGGTGATCATGAGATGGATGTGAGCGGGACGCATGGGGGAGCGGTCCATAAGGTTGAGGAGCACACCGGCGGGGCCGTCGGTGGGGAGAGAGTAAGGGGTGGGGTGGTAGCAGTACCACCAGAACTCGCCCTTCTCGTTGGAGCGGAACTTGCCGCGCAGGTTGTTCTCGGTCTGGTTGGGGTCCTGGAAGTCGTACTGGCCGTTGGCGGAGGCTTGCCAGATATCGAGAACGGCACCCTCGATGGGCTTGCCGGTCTCCATGTCCTTGAGGACACCGTGCATGAAGGTGACCTTGCCGTTAGGGTTGGGGTCCTGGATGATGCTGTCGCCGAGCTCGCGGAAGGGAGCGTTGGGAGACCAGAAGGGACCGAGGATGACGTTGGAGGTGGGGGAGACACCGTCTTCGGTGACGATCTTGTTGGCGATCTCATCGACAAGGCTGGTTAAATTTCGTTAGTTTGGTTTGTCCTATGTTGGGAGATCACTATGTGGTTTTTTGACTTACGATTCCAGACCAATCACATCGCAGATACGGTGGCACTCGTTCCGGATGGGAGTGCTGATCTTGCCGATGGAGTTGATGAACTCGACACCCAACATCCATTCGGCGGGAGTGAGCTCGACCTCACGGGCGAAATCGTGGATGTGCTTGATGAGGGCGCCCAGGAGCACACGAGTGCGCTCGGGGGTCTTGGGTCCCATGGAGTTGACCACATAGGGAGTGAAGTTGGGGTCGAACTGGCGAGTGGAAGACATTGTGTAGGATGTGTGAAGGTAGATAGATGTCAAGAAGACAGTTCAGAGAGGAGTTGAAGAGGAAGTTAGACTGTATGGATGAAAGAGCGAACATAGCGAGGACGTCGAGGGTCTATATACACGAACTCAGGCAAGTCTGGATAGTTAGGGATGCCGACGGCAAATTTTGTCGGCTCCTCATCCCTGTGGGGGGTTGGCAACGGTGTTGGACCACAACATCCCGTTGAGAGGTGCCGACCGGATTGGTTCGTTGATGGTCTGATGTCTTCATTTTGGCAACTGACAAAGTTTAACAGCCGAATGGCGGCAGGTACGTAAACACTAGTAGTGTTCTTTGGGTCAACTGGATCGCTGAGACCCCGTCGATATCAGAAATTGTTAGTGAAACGGAGTTCGCTGGGGGCGGTAGGCGCCGGGCTAGAATTTACCCGCGGGTAAGTCCTCTCGCTACCCCGGGATTCGCCCCCGGGCCTTTGGATTTCTTTGTCGAAAAGTTCATTGGTTCGTCACCTTGCCGATCCGAGCATCCGACCCACGACCCGGCACGTGCCAGCCGTGATCTGACAAACGCGGGGTCGCGTCCCCTCGTGATCATTCCTGGCCATTTCTCCCGGAAGAACTAGTTTCCGAGATGACAAACGCACTGCGCCAGGAAGGCGGTGGATTTAGCAGAGTTTCGCTTCCGGACCTTCTGCCGGCCCGAGGACCCTGATTGTCGATTCCCTGGGAATGGTTGGACATCTTCAATTCTCATTCTAATTGATTGGTTATACTAGCAAAGTTTATGGTCACTGTGCCATAGATTTTAAAACTTAGTATATTTCTAAAGTTCCAAACTCAGTGGCGGACAAACAAAAATCCTCATGGACAACCATCATAGCGACCTGTAGGGTCACAGTAGCTCTCATGAGCGGCTCATTCAATTTCCCAGAGGCGTCGGGGCGGAAGCGAGTGGATTCTCTTTTTATAGTTTCTTTTCTCCCATGTGATTGGTACTGAGAATCTCTTCAATCCCCAGGCTGTGTTTCAATAGGTTCACAACGGTTATTGATCGATGATCTAACCGGAGGTTCCGGAGTTGTCACATATCGACATCGCCATTTCACGACGGTTGCCGTTCAGACCTACTCTGCACATCGAAGTCTATGACGCTCAGTGATGTCTCGTCAACTATATCCCTAGTAGTATCTAGGAAGTAGAACTCCGTCAATTAGTATGAAGGAAAAGTCAAGCCTTGTGCAAGAACTTTTAAAAGATCCGATCTGCTACGGACAGCGACCCGTTACGGAATATATATCCTTCGCATATAGTAGGTGACCTGTTTACCATCTAGTCGTGATATTCAAGAGTTCCCTATCGCGTAATTCAAAGTATAAACATCATTATGCGTACATAAAGGTACATCCTATTTAGGATTTCAATGAATTGGATCATTCTTTTTAGTATAGCAAATGTTTTAGTATAGCAAATCATAAATTTGCTGTACTCCGTATATGTACATACATCTAAAATAGGAAGGCGGTATTATGGGTGATGAACCTTCGTTGGCAAAGAGGCGGCAGATACCGACCGCCCAGGCGATGAGGCCTGTTTTCCTGTTTAGGTCTAGCGCTCCTAATCGGGTATAGCAGCTAGTGTGTCTCCCAACGCCGTCGTTATGATTTTGTTATAGCATGAGCAAGTCAAGAAACTGATCTCCAAATTACTACTAATAGTTAAAGGTGGGACGAAAAACACAAAGGCTATCTACCATAGCAGTCTCTAATTCTTTGAAAGCCCTTTCCTGTGCTCATCCCCCTCTCTTTGCCCAATCTTCACTACGAAATATCGTGTTGCGCGACAGGAAAGATCATAACCTCATGAGTAGGAAACGATTCTGTAAGAATTATGTTACCTACTAAGATAACATGAACCATGCCAAACCACGTATGCTCTATATTCCTTACTGATGTAGCTTTGCTTGGAAGGGTACTTGTTTATGTGGGGGCTTGACTTGCATGTCCCTTTCTTCGCACCTTAGGTATCTATAAAAGGCCCTTATATAAGCCAACATTGATGAAATTTTCTCCCAGTGGTGCGTAGTACGTGTTATAACCGTCATACTACGTAAACTTTGAACAGGCTGTCATTTTATGTCTTATTACTATTAATTTTCTTTTACATCAGTTGGGTTTCATCGGAAAATCTTCAAATGTCACATCGCTATCTCTAACTGCTCTCCATGGTCAAGGCTAGAGAAATGCCACTTACAACACTTCCTTCCGGCTGCGGCCTTTGTGGTGAGGAATGCGGCCTCTTTAGATGCGATGGGTGTAAAGTCATGCCGTACTGTGACCGCGAACACCAAACGCTCGATCTCCCATGGCACCAGGCTACCTGCATGGCGGTCAAGAGATCTTGTATCTGGATGGAGCAGATAGAAGGAGTGTTGTGCTATCATGGTCATACATTGTTTATCGACGCGAATCAACCCAGCGGGTGGCATCAGACGCCATGGTACATGACAGCACGGCTGAATTTGATTCATGCCCTATCTCGGATCAAGCATGTTGAATCAGCTCAGGCACAGCTTCGCCACTTCATGGATATGCTCGAATTATGCGGCTATAATCATGCGGGCGAATGGGCAGGAATCCCGGCCTTGATGCTTCGTATAAACAAGGATCAGGAATGCTATGATTTCGTGAAATGGTGGCATACGGTCTGTGGATCGTACGGCGATAATGTGCCCCTTCCAAGCTCTCTGTGCTTCAACGTCACGAACGCTGATGCTTTCGAACGCCTCGACCTGTTTAGTGACCGTTTTGCCAATTCCAGATATATCGTCGCTTTAACCCTCCTGAAAGTCAAATTATTATTGGACATAAGGAAGCTGGATCAAGTGGTTTTTGCGTTTGGAGCTATATTTCCTCGTGAGATACTTGATATGATTTTGTCATACGTACCTCGGAGTTCGGTCGTTGCCAGAAGTTGCAGGGCCTTGAATGATGAAGCGCGCCAGAAGCTGGTTCACGAGTTAGAGACACAAGTCGACATTTTGTTTAGGGAAGTTAAGAAGAGGGATCCTATCTTATGGTGGAAGCTTGCGTCTCGAAGTTCTGTTCTAGATGCAAGGTATAGCGAGCCCCCGACTTCATGGCATGTGATCGATACGGTGGCCCTATCTCTGATGTTCAATCACACAGCATGGCTTGAGACACCAGGGGCGACCGATTTTATCAAGGCAAAATTAGTGGGTAGCGTCTGCAGGTGAATTCATCCACCCATGACTCAATGGATTTTGTTTGACCAACTTCGTTACAGATTGCGATGCATTGCTAGAATAATGCCACATTCTAGTTCTCGCTTGCGGGTTAGTTCTATATATTATGAATTCTTGCTTTACGTCTTCCCTCGTTGGGTTATCAGTTGTTAATTTATAAAATCTAGTATCGGTTAGCGTGATAACCACACTACAGCAGGTTAAGCACAATGTCAATCCCAAGCCACTAAGGTAGCATCAGCTGCGCCTAACAGCTTAATTATCACTCAATTCTCTTTCCATACTGACGGAACTCTGCAGCTGTTAGCCCTGTTGCCGATTGAAGACCGGCATGCCACTTACGAAACTTCAATGACTGCACATTTGCCTCCTCGAACAACATTGGCAGCTTCTTGAATAGCTGAATCTAGCCTATCTTGTTCCTTGACTGTGACACCCCAAGCCGTACCGGCTGCAGTGGCAATCCCTGGGTAATCAGGCGATGGTTCGAATGATATATTGAGATCTAATCCATAACCTGTTAGCTGTGTGATGCTGAGCTATCGACAATGTGTATTCCTCGGCGACAAAAGGCGTATTGATGGACTCACCTCGCCTATTGGACTTCGAAGACAACCCATCCTGGCGTACAAGCAATGCTGACACCTTCGGTGCGTTCCATCCTCCATTATTTAGCACGACCAGGAGGAATGGGAGCTCATACCGCCTAGCAATCCAATAGACACTCTCCATTTGCGAGAAGAGGAATGTTCCATCCCCAACGCTATTACGTCGTTAGGCTATTATTATTATGATTTCATTATTAATACTCACATTGCACAGATGAACGAATCGGGTTTGGCCAGCTTGACACCTAATGCCGCTCCGCCTCCCCACCCTAGGCCACCGGCGCCGCTGCCGACGAGGGTTCCCGGCTAGAGCTGTGTTAACGACTATTAGATAATTAAGGCTGGTAAAATACCTGTGTCAAACTAAGATGTTGAATAATGAGACCTGCGTTGCTAACGGCTTCAACAAGGTAAACAGTATCATCCGGAAGGTGGTGTCGCAGTCTGGAGGCGAGGTACGGAACGCGAATCGTACTGTCCTGTGAAGGGGACTCCAGGGCTCGTAGATCCTCCCTCCAGCGCAAATAGCGATTCGCGCGCGCCTCGAATGCCATAGCATGACTTGCCCTTTCAATACATTGCTTATCGATAAACGCATTTAGTTGCCGGAGTGCAACCTCGCAGCTGACTTTTAGCCTGCTAGTTGCGTTGATCGAGAACACTGGTAGCAGACGATTAACAAGGCGATCCATTAGACTGGAGTAAGTACATACGCGGCATTTGTTGCTTAAGTGGATCGACATCAAGGTGAAATATCGTCGTGCCTAGACAGTCAATAGGTGGTCTACCGAGCCGGGCGCAGGTCTGTTACCTTTCTGTGGTTTTCCAGCGGTAGGAATCCAAGGCACGTCACAGTCCAGTACCAAGATGACATCTGCCTCGCAGACCGCCGGGTGTGTGGTGATGGTAACGCCAAGATAGGCTTCGTGATCTGTACGCATGCTCATGTCGGACCCAACTGATTCAAGGACACTGATTGGTAGCTTGTCACAGAGCTCTGCTAACAAGGGCGGCGCTTGCGGATTACGACCGAGATATCCTGTGATAACAAGTGGTTTCTTTGCATTTATGAGCGCGTGTGCAATCAGTTCAACCTCTGGTGCCGTCAGCAATATCCAAATGGGGCGTTACACGTATGTCTGACCTGATTCGGGCAATGCGCTGGGAACAATTGGACTGAGTGTCTCCTCCCCAAGATATTGCCTATCCACGTGCTAGATAACCCCATTAGCGGTTTTACTTTTCAACAGATGGTAGTGCGCACTTCTTCGAGCACCTCCCTTGCTGCCGTAAGATATACTGGTCCCTTAGAGTCGGACATTGCAAAGTGCAAGGCTCTATAGACCATCTCTTTGATATTACGGCCAGTCTTAATTTCACCCGAGTACCTGCAATACTGCCGAACAATTGCCGTCTGGTCAGGCACATCTTGCAGCCAATGAATGAATCTACATTAATGTCAGCCAAGCTAAGGATCGTACACTCCGTGCGTCATACTCTGTCCTTGAGCCGAGAAGTTCGCCGTTCTGGGTAAAGGGGCTTAGTCCAGCAAAACACAAAACCGGCACTCTGCCCACTGAGGCGTTATGGATAGATTGTCCCATGGCGAGAGTACCGCAGTCCACATGCACTATTACACATTGCTATATTGATTCAGTACGGGAGCGTGGATTCACACTAGATATATCATACCGGAATTCCTGTGACTTGAGCATACCCCAGAGCTGCTGACAAGGCGACCAATTCGGAAGGGCAAGTAATTATGGTAGGGAATTTGGACGAATTTTCTGTTATGTCATCAGCCGTTTGTTTACTAGGAGTCCTTAGAAGATCGCACCTTGCTTTGCCTTGATCATCGCTTCCAACATGGCCGGGTGATCGCTGCCTCTGTTGCTTCTGTTAGACAAGCATACCGAACACACATACGGAAATACTTACAGATTGACAAAACAATGGGTGACACCAGCTTCCGCTTCAAAAGACCATTAGCTACATTTCCTTAAATACCCTAGCATTACATACAAAGTGCTTCAAAGAAGCCTTCCGCAGCAGTGGCCATCTCACTGTTTTCGATATTCTCATCTTCAGCACGGTATGGCCTCTTTCTCGGATTCGCCAACTCTCCACTTCTAAATTCCATTATGTTTAATCCGTCGCCGATCCAGTTTATGCTGTAACTTCCACATCCTTAACAGGCACTGAGGGGTATATATAGCGTTTAAGGCGTCCTACAGATCGACATGCCAAGTAAGCACGGGCCTGAATCCGTGTTTTCGACTTCCCGAGAGCCAACCGTTTCGAGATCTCAGATGGAAATCCGCGGCTGTTGGGGTCAGACCCCGCATATACGATGTGTGGGACTTTTATCATTGGTTCTAATTTGTCACTGTCGATTACTGTCCCTGCCAATTGAGCGAGGGTCTTGGTGGGAGGTTCCCTTGGTGATACAAGTAACATGGGTTGTTTACATTTTTGGCGGCGATTAGGGGCGTATAACTTAATGTAAGTAAATGAAAAGGGTAATGTTATTCTTTTAAGCTCTAACATCTTGTCCCTGTGCTCAGGGACGGTAAATGGCCTACCATATCTCCACTGTCGTTTCCTTGGGTCATGCCTTCTCCCACGATTCCCTCGGAATCCAAATCTTTCCCACTCTTGTTACTCGCCCAGGAATTCTCTGGCTATGATCAATGCCCAGACAGCATATGTGGTCTAACTTCTGCAAGCCATCCGCACCCTCGAGTAGCTTGACACCAACAATTTTAATCAGCACGATGTCGTCACGCAGAAGCCAGGTCAAGGTCGATCCACGAATCGTGTGCGGTAAGTTGACCGTGTCTGTCGAGTCCCAGCGAGGAATGTGGCTGGCGTATGAGTTTCCTGAGGAATCACGTAGACGAATACGGTCATGTGGCGTTATATATTCGGTTTCTGGTTCCCAGGATTCGCCCGAGTAGATGGTAGAGTCAAAGCTACATCGCACGAACGGGTACTGACCCACACGGTCATCTTCGTGTGACTTGGTTCGATCAGCGACAATGTCGATAAGAAAATGAACCGATTCTGAGGTCAGGCAGTCGGTGGATGCGGCCACACGAACTTGGGCTGACTCTTGCGAACAACGATTGAACATATGGGGATATTCAATAGGAGAAATATAGAAACCCTCAAGCTCGAGCTCGGTTACTTGTGGGCCACGGTGCTCGTAGCTCCCATCCTCTAGTTCCGTCATGTACCCTGAGTCGCCTTTCTTGGGGTAGGTATCTATAACTTGTTGGAGGGAATGCCAGCCAGCCCAGGACCAGCTGGGAAAGCCCTCGCGCGGTCTATCATATTCGCGTGACCAGAGGAGAGCGTAATGGAAGTCCTTGGAAGGTAGTCCACTCAGGAACTTCATGTCATGCTTCTGGGCAATGATCTGGAGGCAGACTGACTCGTACACCCCACTATCTTCCCTAAGACTAACTACGGAGTACATATTGCCGTGGATCCCACCGTTAAGCTCTCCCACGAATGTCGATCGAAGCTGATGACGATCGCCTGCATGGGGAAGAGTAGTTGACTAGGCGGTTCAGTCAAATGGAGTCCTCGCTAGTAGGTCATCTACCGAATTTGCCCTACTGAGGGTAGTGAAAGGCACGTAATCATCAGAGCATCACATACACAGTAGCTATACAGAATAGATAAATCACAGACTACACTACCGATGATGAGGTCATATAGATATTCCGACGGTTTTCCCAACCAATTCCTAGTGCCCTCTTGGTATAATTACTGGATCACTATACATAGGCAAAATAAAGAGTAGTTGTTGTGTGTGTATCTATTATACGTTGAGGGTGGGGTTTGAAATTCCCGAAACGCGGGGCATCCCTGGTACAGCGGACGAGATCAACCAATTCTAATAATTATAATAGTCTAAGTAAGTAGGACTATCAACTAGTCGATTCAGAATATATTTACTATATCAAAGGTTCAAAGTAAGGTTACGATCATATTCTAGTAGATGGCGCAGTAGATAATTAAAATCTTTGATTATTCTCGATGCTGCACAATCAATATTGTACTTTGGTGTCAGGATATCATCAATGTCCTTAATGCGTATCAGCATATCAGCCCGCAGAAGAATCCATGGATGACCATCCTTGTAAACGTCACTCTTGAAGTATCTTGGGAGTATTCGAGATAATTGCTAACTACATATTCATCAGTTGTGCCAGACACAGTCAATCTGTATTACTTATTCCTTAGTACTTATAGACACCAGTTCTCAATTTCCCCAGAATACTTGACTTCCGTGGTAGGAGCCCTTTGCTTTAGGCACACAACCTTGTCTTGCTCTTCTGTCTTCACGTTGCTAACGTCCCCGAGACTTGGCGACTTGCGAGTTCGCGTTGTTTCTGAATTAATCCCACCTCTAATCTTCTAAGGTCGTACAAGCATGAGTGCGCAATATATATAAAATGATAAATAGCGCCAGGTATAACCTTAGATAGATATAAGGGAGAAAATAAAGAAGAAGAAAAATAATACTAGAGGGAAATAATAGCCTATCATCCGCACCATAACGGCAAATCGGGGGAACATCAAAATCAACACCCAATCTAAACACGTCATTTTAACGCGTCAATCGATCGAGAAAGGCCCCCTGAGGCCTCAGGAACCGCTATGGAGGCCCCAAACCCCCATGGTGGTGGTCTACCGAACGCGTCGAGATGGGCACCCCCGAGCGGGATACCACCACCACCGTCACCACCATCACCAACACCGATATATCGAGGGGGCCCTAGGACCCTAGATATACC